GGTCATGTGTAAGCATCGGAGTCATGGTGCTTGAAAAGTGTAATTCAAGATGAAAACCTTATTATCAGGGGGGGAGATTAGTCTAATACATGCCAAGGCCTTTGGAAAGTTCAAGCTCTTCCGTGACTCCCAGTAAGTACTCTTCGAGAGCCTCTAGACCAGTATGATTGTAATCTCTTCGAGGGTTAGCGCAGGCAAAGCGTCCCTACTGCCTGGAAATACCGAGAAATCTATGTCCAGATATGAACAAGAAAAGAAAAGGCTTAAATGCTGGAAAACAGTACCTTTTACTGTTTCACTGTTCAAGTAGATTTACATTTCCACTTTATATTGTCTATACGATCTTTACCTCACCCACTTCTACGTCTCTGAGGAATTTCGCCAAGCCTTTGTCTCCAAAGTGCGAGTCGACTATACCAGTCCTCGTATAGGTTCCAGGCGCACCTTGCACAGGTACCAGATACAGGGCCTTGATATAACCCTTCTTGAAATCAGCCCACAGCAGAAAAAAGACCATCTCCGAGCGTTCGGTCTGTTCTGTGGGGCGGTCCCAGGAAATATAACTCCAAGCCGTCCTTTCGAGGGGATCATCAGAGTCTGATTCATCGGAGTCTGACATCATCCATATATGATCTGGACTATCAGGGTTATCCTTCTTCATTGCACCGCGAAGAACCAGAAATCCATCTTTAACAGCACCAGTAGGATCCTCTCCAGCGGGGACGCATTGCGCCTCGAGGATCTGTGCTTGAGGCTTACCCCATCTTTCGTGATATCCTGCTTCGTAGCAGTACCAGTAACCCGCCTCCCTGAGTCCATCTAGTCTCTCGATATACCCCACAGAGAAAGGAGACCAAGTTGGTGCCATGTATTCTTTCCATCTTTGTACTGGCTCATCCGTGCGAGGGTGCCAGACTAAGGATTTCAATAAGTCATTCTCCCACAGCCCTGCGAGATATTTCCCAGCGCCTTGTGATTGGCAATGTTTCGCGAGACCTGAGAGAGCCGGTAGTCTATCTGCGTCTTTAGAGAGAACTCGTGTTCCGTAGGAACCAAGGAGTTCGCGCCATTGGACATAAAGCCCGTTGATTCTGGGTATCCTTTCTGAACCTGGATGCTTCGTTCTCGAGTTCCTGACCATGTTAAACTCTGACCAGTAGGTGGCTTCTGACTCGTCCGCTTCGACTTCCATGCACTCGCACTTGAGACACTGAACACATTCCCAAACCATCTCACTGGCAGTAAAATGGACGATCCTTCGCGCCAGTATGCTCTCCTGGAGAACCCAACCTCGCCGGTTCAACGGCGAGCTAGTGACTTTCCATCGATGATGTGATTCTCCCGATCTATGACCAGTACTCATCGGTCTGCTGTATATTTCAGACGTGGTAGAGTCAGGATTCCTCATATGAGCTATCTTGGTCGACTTGCTAGGATTGAGCTGCCATGTGTGCTGAAAATCGATATCTTTTCTGTCTATAAACCCCTCTGAAGACTCACTTGCTTGAGATGCTGCCAGGACGAGAAAAGCATTACTGTAAATTGATGCCATCTTGGAGGATTCAACTTCCCAGTCCAATGTGTCGTCTTGGACAATGCAAAGAGAGTCAATCCAAAGATATCGAACTCCGATATTACGAGTAACAGTGACAGCGTCTTGGAAACTCTTGGGAAGGCTATGGTAGCTAATCTCGTGGGTACGGTTCGCAACGGTCCCTGTTGTGGTTTGCAAGACAGGGCCTTTACCCCAACAATGACTCAATGCCACATATGGAGCGACCTGACTTTCTGAAACGTGGAGGTATATGCGATGGTTGATTTCAGCTCCAATGTCAAGAACTCGACGCGGTAACTCAGCATCCTTGACTGCACATCCCTGGTGTGTGAAATCGCAGCTCTCAATCCACTCGTTGATGCGTACCTTGTGGTCTTCCCGACGACCACTTAACGATACTCGACCAGGCTTTACTAAATCCCACGCTGGCCGTGGCGTCCCAACGGGATAGTACAGTTGGTAGGTAGTAGGCTCGAGCATCCTGGAGGGGGCTATCACTCCATAGACCCAGAATAATCCGTTCTCCTGTTTCGATACATAGACTCTAACGTTAGGTCGGTCGTTTTTATACTCAGAGCAAAAGCTGGACACGAGAACACATCGACAGCATCCCTTATCTGACTCCTGCTGCAGTTTCTCCAAGTACTGCCCGGCTCCCCTTCCAGGAGTATTGAAAGAACATAGGTATGTTAACTGATCGTTAGTCCAAGTTATCAATGGGACCTCCATGGTACGGAGAGTGGGATCGTGAACCGTACTTAGTACAGAGATGAACGCTTGGCCAGGTCGTTGAAGGGTGAGACGCGGGGTACCTCACCCCTGCAGCAGTGGATACATCACTCTGCTGACCTCGAGCTGAGGTCACGTGGGGCTCTGGTTTGCAGGTCCAGTCGGCTGTAGCTGGTCAAGGGATATCCTTTTTAGGAATACCTTGCCCTACTAAAGACTTAATTCCGTCATTTAGGTACCAGTCTTCCAGACTTAGAATGCCTTTGAAATGGAATGTCTCAGACTAGTCTTGGTTTCTTAATCGTACCCTTTTCTCAATGGTGCACTTAGCAGAAATGTCTTAGACAACTACCCCTTCAAGGGAGGCAAAGGAGACTGCCACCAGCCCTTTAACCTCTAAGTACTTCTCTAGTTACAACCTTGCCATTTCTTGGAAACTCAACTCTTCACAGCTATCTCGTCTTTCAAGATGGAGCTACCCGTAGCTCGAATATTTTCGACCGTCTTCGCAACACTCTTTTTGGTTGCCGTAACCTTGAAGACACTTTACCTGGGAAATGATCCTTATCGATGCCGCGCTGTCCAGAACACGGGTCGCTGGATAGACCCACCACAGGACGAAGCTGGGAATAGGACACCTTTTCTTCACTGGCAGCCAGATGGATGTATATTGCACCAATATGACTCCGAGGACGCCCGTCGGTGCTTGGAAGGCCGCCCGATCGTTACGGTTGGAGATTCAACATCCCGGAACGTAGCTTTTGCGTTCAGTCGACTGGTAAGTGATGGTCGGGAGCGCTCAATTAACAGCACTGACCAAGGCCAGATTGGCAAGAAGCAAGCCGAGTACGATCTAGCACACATGGACTTTCCCGCCCCGAAGTCGAGCCCATTGAATATGACATACCATGGGCAAAAGATAACGCGTTTGCCAAATCCCTGGCTAGCCTCCCATGGCCATATTGCTCAACAAGAATTTATAAACAATCTTGACCTCTTCGCTGAGGAGAAAAGAGACGTCCCGCTCATCAATGAGCAAACTGGTCCTGCTTTGCTTTATGTATCCGCAGGTGTATGGTTCGGTCAGGCCTTCACTCACGTCAGAGAAAATGAAACAGAACAAGCTAGTGATAATTCAACCGTCGCAGAAATGCACAACCGAACGGCTCCTTTGACTATCCATCCGGATCGTCCAAATATCCCTTGGAGGACTCGCTTTGCTCTATACAAAGACCGCTTTTCCAAGATTGCCAACTTCATCAACGACAACACTCCCGACTATGATCCTTTCACATCTCCAATGGATCCGACTGATGGACTAGGTAACCAATTCTTCTATGCACCCCCTGCAGGCCCTTATTATGTCGGAGATGATCCGGACCGACTTGCCCTCGGAGCGCGAAAGGCAGGGGAAATCCACGAAATACAAGACTGGCTGCGAGAGAATGAAGATAGATGGAGGCTTCCAATGGTTTGGTCGGTCGCCAGGCTTACCTTTGGCCAGAACGAGACTTGGATTGACCCACACAGAACAGGATACCACGTCAAGAAGGAGGTACTTGATACTCGGGCCAATATTCTGCTTAACCTGAGATGTAATGCGAAGCTTGACCGCATCAAGCCCTATCCGTACTCACGCACATGCTGCACTGATTACGGAGTGAAGCCAATGACTCAGCTCGGTTTTGTTGCTTTCGGCATATTCTACCTTGTGGTATGCATCGTCTGCGAAATGGTTGACATCGGCAGTGGACGAGACGAGCCGCGGTTCAACCTTTTCAACATGAAGGTAGGGACCCTGGTTCTCGCGCTACTCATGTGCTATTATGCGGACCGAACCCAGATGATGGCGAAGGGCAGCAAGCTTTGGCAGCCCCAAGATTTTGTTGTCTTATGCATTCCCTGCATTGCAATTCTGCTCACAACGATTCGCCGTACTCGCCCTCGATCTTCATTAGACATATCGGTCTTGCCTTTAGAGACAAATGAGACTGATGAACCCTTTCTCTCTCGGGAACAAACCGATGAGTGGAAAGGTTGGATGCAGTTCTTCATCCTTATCTATCATTGGACTGGGGCCGACAGAAGATCTATCTACGTCTTCATTCGCCTGTGTGTTGCAGCATACCTGTTCCAGACAGGCTATGGTCATACCGTCTACTTCATCAAGAAGAAGGACTTTTCATTTCATCGCGTCGCCAGTGTACTTCTGCGACTCAACATCCTGAGTTGTGCGCTCGCATACTTCATGGATACAGACTACATGTTTTACTATTTCTCGCCACTCGTCTCTTTCTGGTTCCTTGTCGTTTATGGAACCATAGCAATTGGTGGCAAGCGCTACAATAGCGCTCCACAGATTGTCATTACGAAGATCTGCATCTCCTGCTTGCTTCTCTCGCTCGTCTTTATGGGCACACCCTTCACTGGATATCTCTTCAGCGCTCTCAAGTTCCTGTTCAACATACAGTGGGATGCAGAAGAATGGCAATATCGTGTCACGCTCGACATGTTCATCGTTTATGTTGGCATGCTGACGGCAGTGCTTCATCACGAGATGAAGGCAACTACAGTCGACTTAAATCTTCGTGTCGTTCTGGCTGTGGCTGGTTTCTGCGTGGTGCCTTACTACCTCAACTCCACATCATACCTCAAAATGTCTTTATACAAGATCTGGCATCCATTTACATCCTGTGTGCCAATCCTTGGTTTCATCGCCTTGAGAAATGTGTCCGGTCAAGCGAGGAACTACCACTCCAAAGCCATGGCATGGCTGGGAAGGTGTTCACTTGAGACGTATATTTTGCAATTTCACTTGCTTCTTGCAGGTGATACAGAAGGCATCTTGATTGTGGATGGTCTGTTTGGCGATGGGTCTTTGATGGGTGACAGGTGGAGAACACTGGTTATTCTTGTGCCAATTTTCCTATGGATAAGCAATGCCGTGGCACAATCCACGAGCCACCTGGTCAAAGCTATTATGCATAGTTCTCCAGAAGAGCAAAAGATTGGAACCCCACTATTTGCGTGGGCTGAAAAGATCCCTGGTGGCTCCAAAATTACGGCTGCGAAAGTGCGGGTTGCATGCATCCTGATATTGATGTGGGGCATCAACATGATGAGCCCAGGGCATGAGGTTGGTGCAGCACCTGATGGACCGCATGAGTGGAGAGCTTCGCCCCCACCTCCAAAGGAAACACCGTATTAGTTGAATGAGGACCATACATATGTAATAGTCAAGAAGGAGAACAGTCATCGACGAGAAATTCTGATTAACTATACTTGAGATAATTGACATTGTAACTGAACGAAAAACCTGTGTATCTAATAATCAGGTACGATAAGATTCATTCAAGCGGGGAAACAATTTCAGTGCAGCCTTGTAATAAATCTCCCTCTTCCTTTCCTCGTCCCTCTGAAACCCATCCACAAACTTGGTAAAGCCGTTGCTCAACTGCTCCGGCGCATGAGGGTAATCACTCCCGAAAAGCAGATGTCCTGGCTTCGCAAATTCGAAAATCATGGGAAATACCTCCTTGCTCCCAGCAAGAGCCGTGTCGAAGTAGAACTGCTTGGCCTGGCTGATCATATCTTCGGCACTCATGGTCTCTCCAAACTCAGGAAGAGCTATCATAGTGGCTCGCTGGATGAGCGCGATCAGGGTACCGCCGCCATGAGAAAGAATGACCTTGACATCAGGGAATTGTTGGAGACGTCTGTTGAGAATCATGTCTATAGCGGTACGCCCAGTCTCGTGGGGCCAGTCAAAGGCAGGCATAGGAAGTCGTTGATCGAAGTACACTGCAGAGACGTTATTAATGGGGTGAACAAAGACCACTGCTTTGCGACGATTGAGCTCTTTCCAGACTGGCACATATTCCGCGTGATCAAGATATCCTTCAGGTGTGGCGTAGCTAGTGAAGAGTGTGATTCCGTCTGCCTTGAGAATGTCGAACGCGTAGCGTAGCTCTTGTAGAACCAGCTCTGTGTACTGTAGAGAGGGTACCGTGGCAAAGAATCCATTTTTGGGGTTTTCGTCCCGGAGTTGAGCATTATACTCGTTCATCTGCCGAGCGACTGTCGCACTCTTCTCTGGATCAGTGATGTGAGTGACTCCAGGTGTACTGGCTGAGTAAATCGCCGACCCAATGTTGTATGTCTTGTTGAAGGCTATGTCGCTTTCAACGGTCCATTTGGGTACTTCCATGCCTTTCAGACCAGCAGCCACTCCTAGAAATGGATCGATTGAGATTCAAATAGTAGAATGATGGGCGTTTGTGATTATTACCTTGAAGCTGAGGAGGGATGATATGGTGATGGACATCGATGCGGGGGATGTGAGACATGGTGAACGGCTGCTGAATAATAAAGGCCCGGTGGTATATCGAAGAAGTCTGTTGAAGCGATAATAGATATCACTTGAACTCTTGGAGAGACCACCGCAGTACAGAGGTCCGTTTTATAGGTCACTTTGGTGGCGTTCCTGCCGTCAAAGACATTTTTCCTCGACACTCTACCAGATCTTTCAATCTGGTCATAATCGCAAACTGAAGAGCTTCGAATAAGAGGTGTTGACGTCAACAAATCTATTATCAACAACGTAGGTGCTGTTTAAACTTGGAGATGGCTCCTCTTGATTGGCTGAATAAGTTACATCCCGGTCCATCCGAACTAACTTCCGGCTGTCCCGGAACCGTTCCGTCATAGCCCCGCATTAAATCACAAAGGAACGCGTCGGATTCCCTGGAGGCTCGAGATGAGATGCTATAAAATGCAGTTCACGTGAAGTTAATTGTCAAACAGTAGCCGTGTTTCCGAGTCCTACAAATGCTGATTAAGAATGACTTGTAGCGATAGTCCGCGTCTTGAAGGTCTAACGCTCGCATCTTGGAAAAAAGAAAACTCAACCAGAGAATTCAAGACATTTGTTAACTTCGAACATTTCTTACCCAAGTACAGCATGTTGGGTGTTTGAATACACACGATCTGACGAACAAAAAAAATCAATGGAAATTCATATTACACATATCAATGCTAGTTGCAAGCTTCTACTAACCGCACATTGTGAATTGTGCAATTGATCTGTTTAAGGGGGTATAGGGTACGAACAGAGACTTCAACGAAGTCGTTGACCAATCGGGCAACGACGGATCTAACCGACGGGTAAACTGCCCGAGCCAATCAAAAAGCCCTCTAGTCTTGACACGTTTCGTGCCTAGAAGCACCATCGGACGCGCTTTGCTCCTGCCTTTACATATGTTGGGTTCTGGCCTCTTTTTCGTCTTTCTTGTAAGTACATTAAGATTATCTTAGAGACTCTTTTTAAACAGGTTTATGGACACTTCACCATGGACTTAATGAAGCTCGCTTAAATTGCATAAAGACATTTGGGGGTTCCTTGTCCCAAATTGTGGCCTCTTGGCAAATGTGGATAGAGCAAGGTGTCGGGCCCTATTGACTCAACTTACTCTTGAGAAGGATCGAATGCTGAGCGCCAAGATTCAGATGCAAAGAGCATGTTTTATCTGTATACGAATTTGCCAAGAGGAAAGGTTGCTTGCAAGGCTGCTTGCAGTAGGACCAGGCAATGTACAGAGTGCGAGGGATTTATTTCCCATAAAACGTCTAGATTCCGTACCCCAACATGGGGATCAAGTAAGGTTAGTTTATAGTTCTTATGCACTGGTACACATACTCACGGTCCGTGATTCCTTGAAGATAGACATGGCCCGAGATTCCTTAGATCATGCTCAGTAGTATCGCACTCTTTCTCACACAGTCTTAGGGTCCAGACCCGACAGCGTCTTGGCTACACTCACTCCACATTGCTTGCCAAGCACCAGTCACCTGCCACGCTGTCTTTGCGCGCGCGGGGACTGGCTCTATCACGCCCCTAGACAGCGGTAGAATCCTACGGGTGGATCGATCAGAATCCTACAAGTGGATCTGCGGTGCTTCGAAGGATTCAAGCGGGAGACGCTTAATAAGCGCACCAAGGACCCCTTGATTGGGGGCGGGGACATACTTGGCTAACCAATAGGACTGTTGCATTGCATCTTGTTGTAAAATTTCCGTCTGATTAGTACTATCTAAAGTAGCTAGATATTTCCGTGCATGTAACGTAGAGAAAGAAAGAACAAGGGCCCATAACTAGAGTCAGGTGAATGAACCATTCATATGAAGATGTATACGAGCTACCAAGGCTTCTTGGCAGACCCCATCTTACGTTAGTAGAGGCTATGCACAGGAAAGGAAGGCGCAGTTCAGATATCTTCGAAAGGAGAGACTTGCGAAAGATATGCGCAGGATAGGAAGGTGCCAGCAAGATGCCTATGAAAGCAGAGACCCAAGAAAGCTATAAAGACCACAGCCGTTCTGCCCTCGTTTTGAAATCAACAGCTCAATCAATAACGCAGTCCTCAATCACTCTTCTTTAGAACTCTCTACAAATCGACAAATACTCAAGATGAAGGCTGTCACCTCGCTCGTTCTTCAATGCGCCGCCGCAGTGAGCGTCGCTGCTGTGGTAAGGCTTACACCCAATTCTCTAGAAAGGCAGTCAACAGCATGCTGACTCTCTTCCAGGCTCTTCCTGACGGCACCCAGTTGGCCGCTGCTCCTATGGAGGGTTACAAAATTGTTCCCATGCAATGGAAAGGTGTTATCAAGGAGGGAGAGGCTCCCGTTTCCCTGAATGGTACTATTGAGGTAAGATATGTGCAAACACTCTCAGCTATCTGTAACTATACTAACCCTGAGTGTCAGTCGGTTATTGCTCAGATCAAGGAGCTTAACCCGGAGTTCGAGTTGGCGGAAGAAGAAGAGGACGACGCTGTCGCCTCATCCGGACTTGAAGCACGCAACCCAGTAAGATAAATCTCCATTGATATTGCTCTTAACGACACATTCTAAGCGATAATCTAGACTCACATCATTTGCGACGTTGGCGGAAGCGGTTACGTCGATGTGAAGGCTGCCCGACGCGAGAACAGGTACCTTCGATCTTTGGGCAACAGTGTATGTGGTGTGAATGGTGGTCCTGGCACGTGCGCTCGCGTCTCCTGCTCCTATGGTGATGCTATCTGGCTTTGCAACGACAACCGACACTACATCCAACCTCGGTGCAGCTACTTGGCTGACTATGTTGATCGCATCATTTCGCGCTGCAAGTCCACAACCAAGAGCCCACCTTGTACAGTCAGGCCGTGCCCTCCTAGCTGGAGTGCAGAGTTCGTTCGGGGTCAGCAATTCGACAGTGACCACTACAACGTCATTGTTGGCAGAAGCAACTGTTAATTTCTTGATCGGGCGCATCGTGGTTATGCCAACAACTATGATGAACGTTGTATCGCGGTATCCTGTGAAAGCGGGGAGCCAGGACTCGGACCTTACTGATAGAGACGTTAAGCTGCTAGACTAGATTACATTCTTCCGATGCCTTGTCAGGCCTCGTTTCAATTTCAATCAAGAACTTCTTGACCATTCATCAAATAGCGCGTTTATGTGAGAACGCAGAAGACGGATCTTTTGCTTGTCTTGCTCAGCAACAGCAGCTTGCCACCCTTGTATTCGAAGTGGCAAAGGGGAAGCCTTGGCGGAAATGGAGCCCAAAGAGCGCTAGGGGTTTACCACTAGATCTAAAGGAATCACAGGATAAGTAGAGGTTATCTGGGTGTCTTGATTTAACCGCTTGTGTGATGTTAGTCCACTTGTAAAAGTCCACTGATACGCGCCAAGTCTTCCAAGTCTCGCACCCGGCTTGGCTCTTCCATACTGGGATGGAAATCCGAGTGAGGCCAAGGATAAGGTTATACCCCATCTTTCATTGACAAGGAGTACAATTCCCTATCTCCTCTACTCATAAAAACTCCTGCAAGGTATCGTAGATACCCAAGACAGGAACAATAGCGATTATACTAGGCCATAAGGTTGCCAATCCTTCCAGTGTTCCCCTACGGTCTTTTTAGCGTCCAACTCGCGAACCAGACCAAAGTCCAGAACGGAAATGTAGGCAAGAATTTCTCTGAGCAGGTGTCCAAGCTTCTCTATGAAGAGACCATCCGCTGTTTCTACCTTCAAAGATTCTGAAACCGAGAGGGCGGCCTAGACCGAAGACAGGAAGCCTGCACCGCCTTCTGGAGACCAAGGGTGTCCTGAATTACCCGAGATATTTAACATTCTAAGAAAATTTAGAGTCGCTTGCATATTTTCTATTTCAGCCCACGAATTCCGATCATGTGAGCGATACCAATCCTGAGTTTTATGATCGTATTCATAGTTGGGCGAAGCCTCGAGGTGATGAACATATCGCGGACAAGGAGATTCCTGTTGCGCTGACGGATTGCAGAGCTCTGGTGAGTAATTAGAGAGTGTTCAACCTTCAGATCGCCAGATCGATGTAGATATTAAAGAAAGATCTTAAATCGCCTATGAGGTATAATAAATACATGGTACGGGCAACAAGTACAACGTTCTATAATAATGTACAATGCTTAGAGTCTCACATTTGTCCCAATGAGAGCTGACCCCTTCCCCAACAGAGTTCAACCTTGCTGTGGGAAATACCAATGTTTAAGAAGAAGACGAAGCTTATTTCATGCAGTTCCTCGCTCCCGACTCAGTCAACAAAGTGGAATATCGCCTGTGCAACCATCCTCCAAATCCACCAAATGGATCCTCCGCATCACTCGCCTCTTTCCTCCCGTCAAAGGTAAGAACTCTGAATTTTAAAACGGCGACTGGTTTCTCGTGGTCCAGAATTGCGTGCATCTCTACCATGTTGTCAATATCCATGGGCGCAGGTGGTGACTGGTGTGGGTCGAAACAGCCTCTCATTGTGATGCATGTGGGTGTCTTGGAGAGTACCACGAAATGATTTGTGAAGTATGTGCCTTGAACAAGTTAGCTTGGAATGGCTCAAGAGCGTAGGGGTAGATGTACCTGGCTCATATTTGCTCTCCAGAAGATCCTTCTTCTCCCATACGTCGTTCTTACAGTTTTCATTTTTGAAGAATGTCATGATCTTCCTTTGAGGCGCATACCCTAGCTCGGTAAGTATATATCCGCAATTCTGTGTACTTGGATCTTTACCAAAGCCTCCCCACATCCCAGCTGCGAACCTTTCAATTAACATGGTGCCACCATTCGTTGCGTCTTCAATGAGTTTGGGGTCAAGCTTTGTAAATGGCACTTCGCGCACACAAGAGTCAGCAGAAACGGGTTTGTTCCATGGATTCGTCTGCTTCAGCATAGAGTGCGTGAACAGCGATCTGCCATTCACGGGACCGAAGGGCTCAAATTTGCATTGCTTTGTAAGAAGGTGGAAGCTTAGTGCGCCAGTAACAGAAACCCCCGCTACTACTTTCGTCGTGAACAGTAACCGTTGGCGGAGTGTAGAGGATAACAAAGGCATGATAGCAATTGATCGAATTAACAGGATAAAGAACCGTACGAAGGCAAAAGAAAAAGAAATAATTTCTGCATGAAGAGGGAGTTCAGGACTAGAAATAAGAGTCCTTTGAACCCACTACGTGGGTACAGCCTCCACAGCAACAACTACGCCTCCACCAACATCTTCAGCTCTTTCAGCGCTGTCAGTCTGGAAGACTCCTGACACCTTAGAGTTCCAGCCGCAAAGACCAACGGACGCCAAGCCAATCAAGTACAGTTTTTCACGCTGCCCCTGCTATTATTCTTAGTTTGATCCACTTTGGCAGTCATATACCGCTGACTTATACCCGCTGACTCATTCTCGATGGCTTATCGCTGTTATCATCCTTGATAGGATCCACCCAAGAAAGAAATGCAGTACTTACAATTGTAATTTTACTAAATGAGAATGAGTAGGTAAACAACTCATCCCCTCGTCGATTAATAACCTTCCTCGATGCTGAATTGCACAGGATTCTATTCACTACTCTACGCCTGTCATTGCGTCGCTGGTCTGCACTAATCCAGTAAACACCCTTCCATGCTTGCATATGAGGGTCATTGGATGTCTCGATACTCGCAATTCTCCCCCTTCTCGGGATTCGGGGTAAATACAATCTGTTGCTGTTTGACAACATTATCTGCGGAAATCTTGTTGAGTTCTATTCTACCGACAGGAACAAAGGTAGTGCTCTTGTATGGCTTGGTTGCATTATCCAGGATATCGTCGATTCGTCTGGGTCAGCAACGTGGGCTTGAATGATGAAGATAATCGGCTTGTCTGGGAATTGCTGCTGGAAATCACCCTCCAGGTGGTGGTTTCCAAGCCGCACCAGGTTTTGCCTGTCTTCGGGGGTCTTACTGGGGTAGAGATGGACTCATTCGACGGGATCAAGGCGATAACTGACATTGGCAACTTAACCATCAGTATTCGTCGAAATGTGGGTATTGGGCTTACAGTATGTGATGGTGCCATAGTATTGAGGGTTGGGCTTCTCAGAGCCAACAAAGACTGCGGCAGCTTGATTCTATGGCTTTTTGAGGAAAGACAAGAATGAAGCATGTGCTTCACTATAAGCCTTCTGCTCTTTGGTATCACCGCCTCCTCCAGCCTTTGCCTTCCTGAGAATAGCGTCAGCGCGCACATCGCCTCCAAAGAGTTTTAGAAACGCCAGAAAGTCTTCCCCGTTGCGAGTTGCAAAGCTATTGAGATAATGCAGGGACTGATGGACCTGGCATGGCACAGACTACGGACCGTTTCCAGCCATAAGCAACATACGCTCAAACAGCCCGCCACATTGGTTGAACCTTGCCTTGTCCAGGATCTGAATTTTACGCTACTTTCCCCACTGCCTTCCCTGACAACGAACGCCCTGCACCCACTGAGAAGCCCCAGCCCGAGCCCATCACCAAGACCAATGACGGTACTGTCTTGATGACCTGATCGTACTACATATCCGGAGTGGAAACCACCCCGGAGTAAAGTCCACTTACACCAATGTTGTCAGAGACCTTGCAACTCTCGAGACCCCACGACTCACGCAACCTTATTTCGATTCTTGTAAGTGACTGAGTGCTAACGATTTTAATAGTATTCAGTTCCTCAAGGACAACGGTGGGCTTGGTAAGTGTGGAACAACGTATTTTTCCAACAGCTATCACGTCACACTTACTAATTGTATTCTGTGTCATCGCGATTGCTGATTTGGAGTCAAGCGCTCGACTCGTGTTTTCTTTTTCCTTTCTTTTTCAGATAGATGGTAATATTGCATTGTAGTTGAAACCCATATTTTACGACGAAAAGCTTATCATAGCGGTGATGATGTGCGTATAAGTGAGATGCAGTGAAACAAAGAAACACCGAGTCGGCTGTGGCCGAGATGAAGGAAAAAGACCAGGATGAAGCTATCAACGTTAATGGACCATTCAAAGGACGAACAAGCATAAGAATCCATGCAAAAAGTCAACAAAAGGTCCATTCGCGTGTCTTTAGCGAGTATCTGTGCTCAATGGGCGCGCCGAGAGATCCACCCAAAACATGACCAAAACTTGGCTAACAACGCTATGATCCGATCTAGATCATCACGAGATAAAACTTTTGGTGACGTTCAAATGGAAAATAGAAAGCGGATGGCAGGGAAAAGAGAGGTTTTTTGATAGGCAGGTCACATTGATAGGAGAGGCGACGAGTATCATTCTGCATGAGTGGGCACTGACAGTTGGCATAGCAGCCTGAACAGGGGTTAAGCGGCGAATCAAGACGCGCCTCAAACGCGCATGAACTTCACCGCTCCCTTTTTTATGCAGCAAGTTTGACAGCTCAGAAGTTGAAGTGGGCCTCACCGCGCTCCCATGTTTAAATGAAAAGACGGCGCTCCAGGAAAATGTTTTTCTTCATTGACCATTTTGTCAAAATAATTCCACAATGAGCGTTTCTGTCAACTCCAAGATCCTCGGCCAGCTGAGCCGGCCCGAGGCTGAGACACTGCTCGGTGCAAGTGACAACTTGACCCCCTGTCAGGTCAAGATCGTCAATGTTCCGCAAATCGTTGTCGTTGGTGCACAGTCCGCTGGAAAGTCCTCGGTTCTACAAGCAATCACCCATATCCGCTTCCCAGACCACGCCACAAGGTTTGCAACCGAGTTGAACCTCCGAAAAGCCAGCGAGGCGCGCGTCGATGTGAATGTCAAATTCGCAGATCCATCAAAACCTCCCAAATCGTTCGAACGAGATGGCTTTCATGAGGTTGACCTGCTTGACATCATCGAGGACGCCACAGAGTGCATGGATCTCGGCGCGACAGAAACGGAAATTTCCCAAGATGTGCTTTGTATCGACATTCAAGGACCTGAGTTACCTACTCTGCGCTTGGTGGATCTCCCTGGTCTTTCCTCAGACGGCAAGCAAAAGGTTGATGAGCTTATCGAGAAATACATGGGTCAACAAAACAGCCTAATGGTTGTGGTCCTGGCGGCTGACGACAGCGACGCGAACTGCGCTACGCTCGAAAAGGCCAAGCGCGTCGACCCCCAAGGACAAAGAACATTTGGAGTCATCACTAAACCAGACCTCGCACCTGCCGGATCTGACGTTGAGCAAAAATACGTCAGAATCGCGAGAGGCCAGGACGCTGCGTTCGAGTCGAAGCTCGGCTGGCACGTTCTTCACAACGGTTCCAGCAGCACAGCGAGCTTTGGGTCACGAGACGAGCATGAGGTGTCATTTTTCCAGCAGGGTGCTTGGGCGGAAATCCCCACCCAAGCTTGCGGCATCCTTCGTTTACGGAAAAAGCTCAGGGAGCTTTTATACACTCAGATGAGAAGATCTCTACCCGAGGCCATCTCAGACATCCAAGAGAAGCTCAAGGTGCGAAGGGAGAAGTTGGAGAAGCTTGGCACCTCCAGATCTGACCCGAGATCGTTCCTGTTGGGCGTTGCTGCCGATTATCAACGCCTTTTGAGGGATGCTCTTCACGGACGATACAATGACGAATTCTTTGGAGGGTTGAACGACGGTGACCACAAGCTACGTGCTCAACTTCGTAACTTTAGCCGAGCCTTAGATCATGTCCTTCGCACAAGAGGTTCGACACAGGTGATGGGCCCGGACGACGACGTTCCTGAATATGTCAAGGAGTTCCTGGTCCGATACCCTTACGACTTCCCGGATGCGAAGGTCATGACGAGAGAGGAGCTCCGCGCTCAACTCGAGAGACAAGCGGCCGTCAACCAAGGCCGAAAGCTCTCTGGTATTCCCGACAGTGAGCTCATGGTCCAACTGCTTAAACAGCAGGCGGCATCATGGAAGCCTATCGCTGAGTACCACGTCGAGCTGGTGGCGACAGTTGTCAAGGCATTTGTTGACCAAGTCTTTGTACACGTGGCAGGACCCCTGCACACCAATCAAACAACAGAGATGATCCTGACGGAATACGTGGACGACTTTTTCGAAACCGCCAAGGACGAGATGCACCACAAGATTGACGAGCTATTGAGGCCTTACCTCGAAGGCTATGCGCTACCCTTGGACCTGGAGTCCAATGGTGCCGAGTGCGGAATGGACAAGGCTCTGAATATCATGCAGGCGTATCATCAGGTACAGACCCCACTTCCAATTAACCCGACTCAACTAACCCCATACAGAGATCTCGACGCACCTTTGTGGACAATGTGACCAACTATGCGGTCCAAGGTTGCCTCATCCGCGGCCTACCTGGTCTATTTACACCACAGAAGATTGGTAGCCTAAGTGATGAGAGTGTGGAGGAAATGGCAGCCGAACCTAGTGACAAGCAGCCACAACGGGAAAGTCTCCACGAAGAGATCAAGCTTCTCGAGCAAGGCTTGGGCCCATGCAAGCGATACAAGCCCAGGGCAATGACAGGTACGTTGCCGAAACCGCCACGATGGCCTTACCAATCTAACTTTGATGAAATAGTACCGTCGATTCGCAACACTCCCGCCAGCACGACCAGCGCACCTGAGACCGGAACTTCAGATGCTGATCTAGGTACCGCCAAGGCAGTGAAAACTGTTGACGCCCCTGCAGGAGAGTCTGAGGATGTCGATACCACAGTAGAGGAGTCCAAGGTCCCCGATACCGAGGAAACGACCACCGATGCACCTGAGTCTTCGGAGCAGGAAAAGACGGAATCGGTCCCAGCGGATGCAGGTACAACACCAGCTCTGGCCAGCAGCTCCGGATCATTCACCAACAGCCTTGATCAGATGCTCGCTACTGCCACTCCTCAGAGCGCCGTTGATAGTGCCACCGTTGAGACCAGCAAGCCGGTAGACTCTATTCCTGTGCCTGACCAGAAGCGTAACAGCGCAGCATTTATCGACATTCTGCCTGGGTCGCCAGACTCTAAGCCAGCGTCGATACTCGCCAATCTCCATTCCGAGATGGAGAAGACCGACACGGCGTCTCCCCAGCCCAGCATCAACGGTGTCTTGGCTTCGAAATCCCAGACACCTCAGGAGAACGGTAAGGCGTTCTTCAACGGCGGTCCTCCCAAGCCAGAAGAACCAAGACCTACATCCCCCCCTCTGAGCCCCTCCAGACCTTTCAGCAGCGATGGTATACTCTTCAGCAGCCGCGCATACAAGCCCCGGGACCCTGGCCCAGAGCTGGCGCAGCAAGGATCTAGCTCTAGCGGTGGTGGAATCGGCAACAGCTTCCGCGTTATCTTTTCCAAGGCAAGCAGCTCAAAACCCCAGACAAACACGACCAACACAAACGGATACTTCGGGAAGCATTCGGCTGCCTGAGAACGACTTCAAAGCCACTTGATGAGTTATGGGTCAGCTGAGGTAGCGACAAACAGTGTGATTCAGTAAAACAGCGAGTTTCTCGGGGCGACAGGGGATGTATGGCACAGCGATCACTACACACTAACCCAATCACTTCACGAATATAAGTGGCTGTCTTCTTGAAAGACACGCTCCGGGAGCTATTAATGGATATGAAGCCTATGATTAAGCATTAGAATGACTATACATGATGGAAGATGAACTTTGACGATTGAAGGAAGGAGGGTGAAAGACGTGGACAAATTGCTTAGAATGGATGTAAATAAGTTCGAGTCTACAGACTGATAAATTGACTACGGCATCGACCGCCGAGCTTCGCACTTGCCCCACCTTCGAAACTGACTCCGAAATCGCGCCACATTCTCACCGGGAAGCGAGAATCCTATGTACGTGATGTACCGAGTCGGATCTCGCCCGCGGCACATTGACGCTCAGAACTACCGATTTAAGACGCTTGCATTGAATAAAAGGGCTGCGCTTTGCAGGTCGGAAGTCGGGGCACTCTGCATTTCATGTAACGTCGTATTTTCATGTTGACGCTGGGACGTGGCGATGACAATGTGGACGATGAAGACTCTTGTTCTTTCACCCGCTACGGTGATGAGAGATGGATCCGGTTTCATTGCTTTCGTTTACTATACTCTTAATTGATTTTCTGAGTGTAATGAGTTTCCAACTAGTCGCACTATCATCGATATTATAATGGCAATAGTCTCTTTCCGGGATAGGATTCCGTTCCCAGCTGAAGGATCACAGGCTGCAAAAAGCGGTTCATAAGACAACTTTTTAGAAGTATCCATCCTTGCCTTTCGCCACAGTTTGAAGGATTTGTTATTACTAGCCTATTGGAAGTAGGGTATGGTTAATCTTTAACATAACCTCCGCACGCAGTGCCCGTTGAGGTTGACTGTCAACCCCGAAGGTTGCGGATTTCTTGAAATGATGATTCAGCAAGACGTGGAATCTTTATCCGTACCAATTGGGAGCCAGCCTTGAGACGATATCTTGGTCTCTTTGCTGAAGGATTCATGTTACAACTCCCGGACCACGGCTTTCAAAGTCAAGAGACGCATTACGCGTCATTAAAGGCAATACCAAGACACCACCCTTGCACCATCCCCATGAGGAAATCTTCTTTCCTGGTTCGAGCCCGAATTACTTCATGAAGATCCCAGTCAATTAACACCCTGTCGCTAGGAGATCTTATACGTATCTGTAATGTAACGTTCATCGCTGCATCTAATTACTCCCTATACTGTACTTGCCAACATAGATAGCTGTGATACATTATGTCGGTCATTCTGTTGACAGGCAAGACCAGTTTCTCTAGTGAGGTTTGCTTCTACTTTTCACAGCAAGGAATCCCAGATGTTGTGAATCATAGGCCTACCCAATAGTGTCACTCTCGAATCCACTACCTGCAGCCAGATGGGACCAACATAAGTACTCCGACGGACTACCAAAAGGGCTAGGGGTTTCAAGACCCTTGTCACTCTCATACAGACTCTGGGGTCACACAATAACTGATCCTTCGACAATCTTCAACGGAACAGGCATCTCGTTTATTTACCTCGTCTTGGCATTCTTGATCCTTTCTCCAAGACAAAGGATGCAAATCCCATGAACATTCGCACTTTATAAGACCAGAGTTATCCAGCACTCTCTTAAATTGAGCCAGTCAGTCCTACGTCTTTCTATCAATTCTACCTCCAAAAGTCACATCGTTTCGTCAGTACCACAGTCATGCAGTTCAAGAACGCTATCTTCACTATCGGCGTCCTCATCAGCGCCTGCACCGCTGCTGCTGTCCCTGAAGCTCAGCCCCGTGAGTTGACCTAACAGTCATTGGTATATATCCATTGCAACAGACCACATACTAAACTTATACAAGCTACCCCTGATCTCTCCAAGCGCGCTTGCAACGAGGATGGATACGCTAAGTGCACTCAAGCGTGTCAGATGGGACCCGGTGGCGCTCCCCTTGGATGCTGGGCTGGTAAGTGATAGGCCTGAGGTATAAAAACCGGAACCACTACTGACAGGATACCCTTTAAAGGATGCTGCGCTACTTGGGACTGCTGTTAATTCGCCCGTCTGATCATCTCGGATCACAGCAAAAGTGAATGAGGATCATCGTTTAGGACAAACTTCTAGGAGCTACTACACTGCAGTACATCAAACTTGGGCCGACAGTCTTTACCGTTGCAGTGAGGCTCCCATTATCGAGAGATTAAATACAATTACAATCGTTTTATTTCATTAAGTCAGATTTGAGGTTAGGCGTTCAGCATTAAAAGACTTCATCTGTAATGATCACAATAAACAAAGCCTGGAGACATCGCTCCTGGGAATACAATACCAGTAGCGTTCACATCATTTGAGTGGTAGCTAAACTAAAGATACAGTGGTCCACTCTGCCTTTGAGAAATGCGGCAATGAAGAGTGCTTGAGCATAAAGGTCTGGATTTCGACTTCTTCACTAACAGTGACAGGGGCAGGACTTGAGCCAGTACCTTCTTGTCCAGCTTGGTTGTTGTGCGTCTTCCTCGGCTCCTCTTCAGCTGCAACGCTGCAGGAACCAGGATCTGGTACTATCCTTGCGCGCCTCACCGGAAATTTAACATCGGACGATGAACATTCCACTGAGTAGCTGCGTAATTTGGAATCGAAAACCCTTTCTTGCTCTGCGGAAGGGTAATGAGATGTTTCGTCGTCAATTCCGATCCCCTGTTTGATAATTGTGTTACGTATCACGGGTATGATCTGAGAGGGAAAGCGAAAGTCTTCCAGCCAGGTTCCAACTCTCGTAAATTCGCGCTCCTTGGCATTGATACTTCTTGTGACAATAATGCCTTTCAACATCTCGTCAACCCTGGATACTCCGGATTCAGCGATGTACAGTGGAAGAAGAAAGAGATTATTGAGGCTTTGTATTAGCCTGCTAAATTCGAAGGAAAATTTGATCTCCCGCCATTGGCTGTCTGGTCGAAATCCAAGACATTCAATACTGTTGTCCGCTTGTATCACGGTATCCTGGTCCCATCGATAGCTTTCAGGTGGAAACTCCATGTCCGAAACAGCAAAGAGTTCCATCGGTATGAGGAGACATCTAATTTCCAGGACTGCTTTGTCAAATATAGCATATGGGCTAATCCCCTCTGCAAACATCTTTGCGCGACACAGCATAGCCAGTGGCCGGAACGATTTTGACTCGTAGGTATTAGGAGTATCAGTTGGAATCCGAGGTCCTGGACCTGTGTAAGATTCGCCTGTGACGATCGATCCAGGATAATAGAGCCAAGACCATGTCGGTGTGGGCATGTTCGACCTTTTATGTACTGTCCATATCTCGCCAGGCCGCCCACCGAAAACAACATGTTTTGGTGTTTTAGGAACCCACAGGAGTTCCTACATCCACGTCTCGAGCCATATACCGGCGAAAAAGGTATCTCCTGTGCTGGTTGAGATTGCTTTGACCAGGCCAGCTAATGCGACAAGTCGATCCTCTTCATAAGTGAGATCGCATGAAGTATAGGTTTCGAGGGTTAAACTCCATGGTCTATCTCTTTCCTCACAAATCAGACTGGGAATTGACTCCCGCTTTTGAACATGGTGAATACCAAGAGGCGAGGCCTGATTGGCAACGCAGTCGTCACACTCCCAGTATAACTGATCTTTACTCAGGTAAAGAATGCGTCTCGACAGAAGACGCTCTTGAACGACCCAAGCTCGTCGGTTGGTAGCTGCATAATTCACGCAGGTCTGGAAGTCGTTTGGTTCTATTTCCTGCACTAGCACGAAATCACTTTCGTGCGAAAGGGTGTGATTGTTTGCAACCCAGTTCTCGTCCAGAAATGACGCGACTCTGCCAGGTCGGGGAATACTGCGGGGCTGACATTCGTGGAAGACGCTACGATCCTCAGTATCCCAACAGATTGTCAATGTCAGGAAAGCACCCGCGTATATATCGGTCATAAGCGGAGCTTCCGTACGGAATTCGGTTCCGTCGTCGTCCTGGATAATACATAGAGAGTCGACCCAGAGGTATCTGATAGAGATCGCTCGGCAGACAGCAATGACATCCTGATAGGATTGCGGTAAGACCTGATCAGATCGAGGACGTAGGTAGGTGTGATAGTTGTCTCTGGATAGCGTAGGCGTATGTTTGGACCATCTATGGGAAAGTGCAATGTATGAAACGCGGGTATCCGTCTTCCAAAGATTCCGTGTAGTGGAGTCACTGTCGCCAAGATCTAACAACCGGGTAGGCATAACATTTCCATTAAGTGAGGATCATCTCTCTACAGGCGCTATGTTGAGAATCACAGACACCGATCCAACGTTCGATTGCTTCTGCAGTAGATTTTGGAGTAGGCATCGCGGGAATGGGGTCTTTCTTTTCGATATCTAGCGCAAGAGGTAAGTCCTACTAAAAGGGAAATCGAAAGGAAAGCACAATAAATTACCCAAGAAACACTGCTCGGTTGTTTTTCATACAGCTACTTGCAATTCCAATAGATATGGGTCATCATTATCTCTGGCTTGAATTGAAACGACGTACTTGGCGTATGCTGGCTCATACTCAATCTTTGTGAATTCTGCCCGAAATCCAGGAAGCGCTTCATCAACTGGTCTTGTAGCTGGTGAAGATCGTAATGAGCGCCAAAGTGTCCAGCAAACGGGGCAATCAACATCGAGAGACGCTATCAAGGCTTCCCATGACCCATGCATCAACAATTCGTCTTCAGTCATCCATTCAATAAATGTCTCTTCTTCTGGAGAGCGACCCCGATATCGGTGCCTGTGCCATGTTTGGGACTGTAAAGGAGCTTCCCTTGTGATTGTGATCGGCTCCATTTCGTCACTGGCATCACTGTCATTGCTGTCGTTACTGTGATCGCTACTATCGCTGTTATCGCTGGTGTCGCCATCATCTTTTTTTGTATCGGATTCCAAGATGCGTAAAGTTTCATCTCTACCAGTTGGGAAATACCGCAAAGCTTCCCGGCAGACTTGACAAAGGCTCATGATATCCAATAGAGGGTTTAATAAATTTGCAAGGACAATAGTAGGGAAGAAGTAAAACTCTCACATAATGTGAGGGGTCATATCGGGTTTAGGCACGTGACAGCGACCGGGGAATAGAAAGAAAGTCCAGACACTTGATGAGAACTATACTAAGTATAAGCTTCCTAATAGATAACTAACTAAATCGTATTAAAATAAAGTAAGACAGCAGTTTATAAACTTATAAGACTGGGGACAATAAAGGTTGTTAACGAGCCTGAAAGATTGGAGAGGATTTAAGAGGCTAGCCTGGATAAGTTGCTACAAGTGTCGCGCCCTGTGGGGCAGGTACGCGACGCGTCTGGTTTTACTTCTTTGCTATTACTCATTGACTGAGGTGTCCACACTGCAGTTGTAGAGCCTCACTGTGTATAGCAAAACTAGACGTCTTGATGGCTCGTAACGAGAATAGAGTCAAGAAGTTGAATGTCTCATTTGTTACCTACATGCCGCTGGTGTTGTGTGGGAGATGCGAAAGTCGATCAGGTTTGTATTCATCAAAACCACGACCTGTGCTGGGTTACCACCAAGTAATGTGTGGTCGAATCCTTGTCGCTCTACAATTTTAAACTTTCGTTGGTATGCTTTGATGGAACTGCGCTTTAAAAGCATCAAATAGCACCCTCGTCGGCCGCCCGAGTGAGTCACACCGACTCATTTGACATCCCTGGAATTGAAGCGCATGGTTATTTATCTATCAACGTTTTCTCCTTACATTCGACACTTGAAGGTTTTACATTTCTGTTAGACTACCCTGTACATCCAAGATTCTCAATGCGACCCACGCCACTGGAAAGATCGCGACTCTGTGCCGCGTGCAGCCACGCGTGCGCACAGTCCATTATCGGATGTGGACCCCTGACATGCCAGATCCACTGGTCTCAATATAACCTCGAAAAACGTCAGTACGTCAGCGATACCAGGCAAGACTGGGATAGACTATCTGATGTATCTGGTTGGGCGAAATGGTCAAAAACCAAGCGAGAATTCCTTACAGAAACAAACATCTCCGGATGTCATCTTTGTATCATCATCGCACACGCCTTCGATGATGCGTCAAAAGAGACTTTTGGAGAAATGGAGCCCGCGGAAGAGGTTCAACTTTGCTTCGCTTATCGCACAATAGAGCGCGACCCCAGTGGAATGCTGGATTGGCAAGAGAGGACAAGCATGTCGATCAATGATATTACTCTAGAAAATCATCTTCCCGATGAGTTTTGGTTGCAGATTCGACCTGGCAAGAATTCTGTTTTCACTAAACTCTATATTGATTTGCGGTTAAGGCCACTGCAGGGTATTAGTCCATCATTACACGATTGACAGTAGCTAATGCTTGATACAGAAACCGATACACATCATATCCTCAAGACTGTTCCTGGGAAACAGGTTTCAACCATGAACGAACAGAATCTTCAATTGGCCCTGAGATGGATCAAAAGCTGTAATCGTTCACATCCAAAGTGCAAGGCTTTCCGACATCAAATGACTGGATGGCGACCAACAAGACTCATCTATGTTGGGCCACAGCCTGATCAGTCCAAGCTTGTAATTTCGAGTGACAAAGCCAGATCGGTACCCTATGTCGCAGTAAGCTATTGTTGGGGACCTGCAAATAGTGTCACTCTTTCCCAGGAAAACATCAGCGACTTCCAGAAACAAATTCCCTGGCAGTACCTGCCCGCCACCATTCAGAGCGCAATAGCTACTACGAAAGATCTTGGCTACCAATACTTATGGGTAGATTCTCTTTGCATTATTCAGAACTCTAAGGATGACTGGGCTCACGAGTCATCAAGGATGGGCGATATCTACGGGATGGCAGACATCACGCTCGCCGCTGCTGGAGGATCCAGTGTCCAAGATCCCATGTTCTACCGCAGAGACCCGCGAGCCGTTCGACCGTGTGTGGCAAATATCATGCCAAATTACCGATACACCAAGCTCAGCTACCCATGGGCCATATATCCCCACCAAGCAGAACGGATGCTGGACAGCACTATTAACCAGAGTCCTCTTAGTCGTCGTGCATGGGCTCTACAGGAGCTTCTCTTATCACCGCGGTCTTTAATACTTGGTTCGAAACAAATGGTTTGGTCTTGTGCAACTACAGAAGCAAGTGAGGGGTTTCCATTAGGATTGGATCCTAAGTTCAGTACTCCATTGGCCGAAGATTCGAGTCTGTCGCAACTTCGCCAAAGACTGATGAGGATGTCAATTCCAGACGAGCCTCCGTCTAGATTTTGGAACGACTTCATCAGCAAATATACACGATGTCGCTTGTCAGTAGGTTCCGATACCCTAGTCGCTCTGCAGGGCTTAGTGGGGAGGATCATGATGATGGTCGACATGAGACGTCAGTCAAATCCAGACGAACCAGGAGCGAACTATGTTGCTGGTCTTTGGCACGACCGACACTTCCAGCAAAGCCTACTCTGGCGACCCAAGGTCGGCTCAACTCGTAGTAGACCAGAAGCCTATAGAGCTCCATCTTGGAGCTGGGCGTCAATAGATGGCGACATTGACTTCTTTGAGCAGTATGTCCCTTGGCTTTGGAACAAGATGGAGATTGAGTTTGCAACAGTTATTGATGTTAATGTTGAAGCCGCGGCTATCCACTCATCTTCAGCGACTGGAGCAGTCACTTCTGGCTATATCGATATAAAGTGTCATGTTCGTTCATGCATGTTGCTAAAAGCTGGGCCGGGACTCGACGGGTCCAAAGCCTATGAACAGGACGAAGCGCTGGTTGTATCATCGGAGGAATTCCACAGACTGTCCGAAAACACACCCCTTCAAGACTTCTGTGCAGGAACCACGATAAATGAGCTTGCACATCGATTTGCGAACTCATGTATCATCGATATGCCAGAAGAAATACCAGATTCAAAATGGACAGAGGTCTATTGCATACCTCTCCAGCTGGGGCAGTGCCAGACCGATCGTTACGAACAATCAGTTTGGGAAAGCTACGAAGGCTTGGTTGTTGTTCCGGTTCATAGCGGCGCGTGCACAAACTATAAGCGCAATCTTTCGCACACTGAAAGCCCGGACCTGACAAAAATATTCCGTCGGATTGGCACGTTTCGTTTTGATCTACACGAAGGAAACCGGGCATCGAGACGAGGCGAACTTTTGGGCACTGGTAGCGACCTACAAGAAAGGAGAGAGCTAATTCGCATAATCTAACTTTAACATTAACTTAAGCTGCAATACCCAAAATGTTTAGTCGGATATAATCTCACCGAGTATTACATCTCTACATGATCAATTGCGTATACCCTTTCTCGCTTCCATTGAAATAGGTGGGTAAATACACAACGTTCGCGATCCTTCAAAAAAGTTCTTCTACCAATTGGGCAATGAAGTGGGGCAATGTCGGCTGATACATGGAAACGATTCCTCTGTCTTGGCACTTGAGTGACCCCAGAGCCGTTCTACTTCGGTGTCATGAGCTAGAACCGATCTTGGCATCGTCTTACTGAGGGGTTTTACAGTCTCCCACACCACATAGCCCATCAGCCAAGCGACTCCCATAGAGGCGCAGTACGCGAAGGATTCTAGCAACGGAATCACATAAAGAGGCATGCAGCGACAAAGGGAAATTGGTTCGTTCATCAAGCGCTGTACCAAGTATCTTGCAATAATATCGATATGTTCATCCAGTCAACTCTCGCTCTCGGCCTTTTGGCCAATACCGCTACAGCTGCTATCGCCGAATGTGGTACTTCGGGTTCTGGCCAAGCTCTGAAAGATCTATCCATGAAGCTTCGGAATGAACCCCTGGAAGTCAGAGAGCTGAGAAAGAATGTCGAGATCAAGACATACATCCACGTCATCGCAGCCAGCGAGAAGGAAGAGGACAATTACCTCAGTGTATGCCTGTCTCAGCCACCAAGATGCATGAGCTAACTGTCGTTACAGGACGAGAGCATCCAAGGTCAGGTTGACATACTGAACAAGTATTACAATCCATTGGACTTCTCTTTCAAAGTGGTCAAAACCAACAGGATTATCAATGAGTCTTGGACTTCCCCTGTCGGCACTCCTGTCGAGCCCTCAACTGAGGATGATCTTAGGGCCGCACTCCGCCAGGGAAGCTACAAGGACCTGAACCTTTTCTTCGTCCGAAGCATGCCACCTCTTGGCAAGTGTGAGCTCCCCATCCCCAATCCGACAAAGCAAGATGTGATCAACGACGGCTGCATAATGAGACCCGGGGAGCCCGGTGAAGTGCCTCCAAACTTTACCCTTACGACTGTACACGAGGTCGGACACTGGCTTGGCTTGGACCATACATTCGAAAACGGCTGCGAGTATCCTGGAGATTACGTTGACGATACGCCTTACGAGGCGGATCCATTTGGATTTGAAGGCTGCCCTGAGAAGGATCGCAACACTTGTCCCGATAAGCCTGGTCTGGACCCGATTGACAATATCATGAACTACGTTAGCCCGTGAGTATCATCAGTCTGCTGATTTGTAATTGAGACTAATCAAGAGCAGACACTGCGAGCGTATGAGATTCACACCTGGTCAGACCGATCGTATGCACATGCTTTGGAAGAAAGTGCGAGCAAACACAGAAGCTTGAATCTAGCCCATGAAGCCATAGATAGGAGAGACAATTGGCTATATAAGAAGGAACAAAGCGACCTCTGTGGCTGAAGACGTTGTAGGGATCATCAGTGTTAGAGCAAGGGAACAACGAGAGAGGATGTATACTTCGTGAGTCTTGCGACAAACTCCAAGAGCTCCCCTGTATATATTAGAGATAGCTTAGGTGGGCGCGTAGCTAATTTGCCATATTCATTTGCCTATTGTATCAACCATAAAGTTCCTTACCATCCACCCAATTTCCATGAAGTCCAGCCCTCAACCTGACATTCAGTTTAACTACTGCTCTTGGAGCAGAAAAGTCAGATGTATCAACTATATGTAGCTCGCTTGACATAGTAGCATAGTTGTTGACTAATACGATAGTATAGCCGTCGCCCTCAGGAGAATCCTCCGACCGCGGCACAAATACTGGTTCCTGAACCATATGGGTCTTCCCCGAAAAGTATACTTCCAGCTTTCCAGTTTCGTGGTTGAGATGGCCCAGAGCGTTGTACAAGGGATGGCCACCGCCCAATACTGGAGCAATAGCAGCAAAGTCCGTTCCGAGTGTGGGGTCCATCATGTCAAAGAAGCTATGCCGATGAGGTCGCATTGAGACTCGCTCATCGATCCTTGGGAATTCCATGTCGCACTCAGAAATGACTTCGTGGGCTGGAAGATCTAAGTCTGAAGTCTTTGGGTCTATGGTGTATCGCACATATTTAGCATGGATGTCATGAGGATCTGGGGCGTTTCCGTCATTATCAGGCCACCAAAAGAAAACGTTCTTATCAGTCAGAGGAAGATCAAAGACAATTCTGCCATCTGGCAGTTCATAGGCATTCGTCGTGTGACCAGGGAAGGCATTCGGTGCCTTGAACCACTGTGAAAGAGATTAGGCATCGTTCGGTAGGTAACTGTGGAGAAGTTTCATTCACGATGGTAGAAGATTCAGAAATGTCTACGTACCTTTACATCTGATGCTTTTGCACCTCGTCGTGGGAGGAGACCTAAATAAAACGGAACACTCGAATCCCATTGCCAATGTTCTCCACCTTGCTTGAGTCGATCGATATCGCAAATTTGAGGAATGATTGGAAACAGTACCTGTTGTATTTGTTAGTCAATAGAGCCAGCAGGAAGGCAGATATATACAGGTGATATCTTACCCAATTCTCCGTGACGGCAAAGTCATGAATCATTCCGACAACAGGTGAAACCAACCAGACAGTCTGGTTGAAAGTACCATCAGGGTCAATGGAATAGTAGCAGACATCAGGCGTGCCATCCCCCATAGCTTCATACCCGAAACAGACCAACTCTCCGGTTTGAGGGTCGAGTTTTGGATGAGCTGTGAAAGTAAGACTGGGCAATTGACCGTCGAAATCATGGACTCCAAATGTCTCGAGCGTGATAGGGTCCATTGCAAATGGTGGAGCATCCTCTTTCATAGCTAGGAGAACCTTGTTAAAATAGAAGATGTTGGTGTTTGCTGTAGTCCGGACCTTGAATTCAACTGCATCGGTATATTTGTTCCGATACTTTCCTGTCCATCAATTACAAATCAGTACCACGTAGACTATTTGTACCTTTCAATTGGAGGCATACCGGCAAGTCCTTGTTGAGCCTCCCTTTCCCGAAGGAACTTTTCAGTACGAACATATCGTTGCTTGAAGTGAACATTCCCCTTACTGAATCGAAAAGCACTGATATTGCCGTCCCCATTGAACCACTAGAGATACGTGAGCTTCTCTGTTCATGAATCATACTTTTTAGAACCTTAGACTTACAGGGTCTTGATCCGCTAAAGGGGGGAATTGAGGATCAGGCATAACCCTGTAGAACGTCCCATCAATTTCTTGCGGAATTTCACCCTCAACTTCAAGGAAATTGATCTCTCCTTCGAAACGACAAGGCTTCATGAACCCCGAGAATTGAGGCTCGCTGGGGAACGCCCTGTTTGGCTTGGAAGAGACACCGCGGTAGTGACCGGCCATGTTGGACTCGACGTTCGAGTGAGGGAAGTCTGGGTGTTAGTAGTAGATAGCAAAGAAGGACTTACTAGCTAATCATTCGGGCAATTTATTGCTGAATGGATTAGACTCGTATAAGTATTTCAAACTTAATCGTGCTCTTGACAGGTCAGAGGTACTCCCGACTTTGCCCCGTCCCCAGCAATTACCGAGATCCGGGTTGAAGTTAAGCCCGATAGCTCCGCTGACAAAGCACACATGACCCTCACTCCTTTCTCGAGGGTGGAGACGTTTTATTTTTAGAAAGCGATGTACATGATGGCTTCACATTATTCAGTACTATATTTATTGATTTGGACAGGCTATATGCATTCTGTTATGAAACTGCCGGTATTGCCAGGAAAGGACGTTATAAGCATTGTCTTTATTCTATTATCCAGACTAAGTCTTCTGATTTGCATATAAACCATATGAGCATTCTCTGTGCTTGTGAGACGAAGTACTATTGAACCCGTTCAAACCATTTCTGGAGATCAGTGGCGAAAAACTGTCCCAGTTCAAGTTCGTCTCCAAGTCCAAAGTCAGACGTCTCCCATGAGGGCATAGTAGAAATTAAGTCTGTCTCCAGGTCAAAACAATCGCCGTCTCCGACAGACTGCGACTCAACAACTTGGGTCGGGAAGCCGAAGTATTGAGACGACTTCGATTCTGAAATATGAAGATTGAGCTGAAGGAACATTGGGAGGCGGAACAACGAGACTTACCCCAGTTATTGACTATCCTGAGAAGTTGTTGCAAGAACCGCACGCAACGTAAAACAATCGGGTTGTCGTTGCTGAGTTGTGATATGGCCTCGCATCCTTGATTCAAATACCGGCCAGCCTGGCCATGTCGACTCTCGACTCTCGTTTCATCCGTAGAATCGTGGGCGATTAACATACCCCCGAAGATTGCGAGAGACGCACTAAACGCTGCGATTTGTCAATAATAGCACTTAATCGTTATAGACGGGCTAACAAGACTAACAATAGTAAAGAGTGAACCACCAAGCGCCAATAAGGTGGCGACCATGGTCTTGTCTCATCATCACGACATGGATAATATCCAGCATAGTTTGTGCCACCTGGACGAATGTTTTGTCAAAGTTGGCTTGCATGTTGTTGACAGAGGCTGAGTTGCGATAAGGTACCTTCGATTGCCGATTCAAGGCGCTCAGGGACCGAATGAACGTGGGGCGGTGGAGGAGGAGTTGCGCATTCAGATAACGTAGTGTCAAGATGACTCGAAAACGCTCAACCGTGGTATCCTGTGCCTCCATATCTGTAAGTTGTAACAACTCGTCGGCACTGCAGGGACGTAGTTGTACTGGCAGGCTGCCTTGCCAGTCTGAAAGCTCCTGTTCAAACTCAATGATAGCTGTCATGGTACTAGTATCCGAAACTTGGGCATCGCATCCAAGGTTGTTGCCATACAGAGCAGTTATTATTTTCCCTATAACCCTGTACGCTGATCTGCCAAAGTAAGCACTGACACACCTTGGGTAGCATATATCTTACATGGAAGCGTTATAGAACTCGGTGCTAAGACGTTGAACTTCGTCAGAGACGGAAGTATACAGAGGTAGATGGTCGGGTAAATCCAGTCCGATATATTCTTCTGGAATCGTACATGGGCGCCCAAAGGTCATGCTAAGGCTCCTGTGGATATTTTTCAGTTGCAGATCAATAGCTAAACAATGTAGGTAGTCCCAGGTGGCATGTCAGGATTTGATTAACATGGACTTGCTTAAGACTACTAACCTATCAAGGAGGATGCACCCAAACCATGTACGCTTCCGGATCTCTTGCTGAAGAGCGGTGAACTTTGTGGCAATGTCCTTAGAATGAAGTCCAATAGACATGGCGGCTTTGACAGAGAGTCCATGTATGGTCCAGGTTTGGACGGATCTATGGGTACCTTGCAGGTACTGGGTTGTCAAAAGGAGGTATTGAACTGCGATCGATTAACTCTACAGCGCTTCAAATTCGTGAAAGATATAGCCCAAGAACTTACCTATCTCAAGGGTAGTGCCTCGGAGCATTTGGGTCTGGCATAGCTCTTGAGCTCGACGATAGAAGATGTCGGATTGCTCAAAATGGGAGTCGCTTCCAGATTCCTCCCAGCAAGAAGTACAGGTGGCCATGGCTAGAATCATGTTGAGCAAGCCCAGCCAAGTCCGGCTTACGTTGCTTCGAAAGCCACTTTGTCGGAATTGATGATATGTGTCGAAGAAGGCTTGCTCATGGATGTATGGAAATAGAATCCCCGTGTTGGAGAAGTATGCTCGAATAAGCCTCTGCATCTCGTGGTCTGCGGGTAACCGATTGGCATCAACTTTACCGGCGTCGTCCGATCCTCCCAGTGAAGCCGTGGCCAACCTGTTTGAGCTACTTACAAGACCGCCCTCATAAGTACTTTTTTCGGATGTTGTAGTCAGGGGTGAATGTTGGTTGATCAACTGCTTTCTCTTATCGACTGCTCTGAAAATATGTCGCATGAAAGCAATGTTCGAGGACGGGCCTACACAGCAAGGAATGTAAAGATCAGCCGGCCGATTTAGCTGGTAATGCTCGCTCGTTTCTGGGTACACCTACCAAAAAAGCCACAATCCTGTTCATCGACAAATGATACCGCCATTCCGTCAGTCATTCTGTGGTCATTAGAGCTGTCTTTGATCCCATCGATATTGATAACCACATCATCATTTTCCACAAAATTGTCGGACGAACGATTGTCCACAATTGTGAGTTGATCTTGTTGATCCTGTAATCTTCTTTGCTCTGGGCGAACATTTTCTAGGTCATAGAGTCTGTCACCGTGACCTTTCAAAGTGGTCTCGAGCAACTGGACTTTGTGCTCCAAAGCGGCAAACACACTAGCATGAGGAATCAGTAGGTAGATCAGCTATCTGGGAAATTTGGTTTAGGGTATGCAGGCTAGTAGGGAAGATAAGGAATATCAAGGGGCTATTACTCTTTGGGAATTAGGAGGTTGGCAGATGTCTCCTATTGCTCATATGTGCATTCAAATCCGAGTTTATCGCAGGTGTCGCATCGTGGTCGGCCTCCGTTGCACTATGAGATCTCTGTCAACAGCTGTTGTGGCTGGGCAGTGTTGCCAGAACGACGACGTACCCTTGATTTTCGAATTCTGCATGCTGAACAGGCTAACGCGATTCGGCGTCTCTTGGGTGGGGGCTCCGCTTGTCGCTGTTGATTGGTACTGTCTGTCCCAGATCTGGGTGGAGACTCACGATCTGATGCCATGAATCACTGACTGCTACGTTGAGCCTGACTATGAACCTGAATACAACAAAGACAACAGTTCGGGGAAACATTGGGAGAGCCGGTTCTTGTAGCTCTTCTCCCCTGGCTGGCTGGCATGTTGCATGTTCCCCGCCCGCCTCAGTTGCCGAGACCAGGGTTTTCCCAGAAACCAGCCTAGCGTGTTGCAGATCGTCGAATCAACCAATCAGATACATGGCGTATTCTTTTGACTTCGCTGGGGCTGTTATAGTGGGCTGTCTCCGGGGAACCATCGGAAAGGACGCTTGTAGCCTGTAATATGTAAGTTCCTAGTCAAGCCCTACACTACAGTATGATATGAGCTTGACTTGTTGTGAGTCTCGTAAACGATACATACAAACACGACACGCAATCATAATGAAAGTGGCTTGGCAACGGTTGATTCGCTTTGTTGCGGCCGATGGGCGCGTCCTGAGGGGCGAGCCCATTCTCCCCTCCCCCAATTTTGATCTCGGCGACACAACAGAAAAGACAGGTCTCAAAGCTCGAGTGATTGAAGGAGACGACATCTACGATTCAACCGGTACCACACGCGTCACTGATGAGGTAGTAACTGTCAAGACTCTTCTCGGGCCTTTGGCATCTACCGACGTCCCCATTATCCGATGTGTTGGGCTGAACTATGCGACTCATAGTAGGTTTACTTCCGTCCAGCCATTCCAAGGAACGAATGGATATTGACGATGCCTGCACTCAGCCCGTGAAGCTGGGCGCAAGGTTCCGCCATTCCCATCCATCTTCTTCAAGCCATCTACAACAATATCCGACCATGGCACCAGCGTAGTTATACCAAAGCTTGCTCAGGATGACCAAGCAGACTACGAGGGAGAGCTGGTGAGTCAAGCCTTGCTTAGTCAAGTCACTACATTACTTTGGAAATGCTAACTATTACGTTCAGGTGGTGGTTATCGGACAAAATGCTAAAAATGTGAAAGAGAGTGAAGCTCTTGAGTATGTTGCTGCTTACACTGCAGGAAACGATATCTCGTCTCGCAAATGGCAGAGAGACCCTAACCTCACTGGTGGCGTTCCGCAATGGGGGTTCTCAAAGGGATTTGATACCTTCGCTCCGTTGGGTCCTGTTCTCGTCTCAAGCAGCTTGATCCCCTCTCCGGAGAAGCTTCACCTCCAGACGACGATAAACAAAGAACTGCGACAGGACACAGGACTCGATGATTTGGTCTTTTCCATTTCCACTCTCATTGCGCATCTATCCTCTGGCACAACCCTCCAGAAGGGCAGCATCATCATGACAGGAACTCCCGGCGGCAAGTGTGCCCGCACTGCTTCCATGAATGATAGGCGATGCTAACCAGGTAAATTTAGGTGTTGGGGCTGACTTGAAGCCTCCTAAGTACCTTCTGCCGGGGACAAATATGGAAGTGAAGATTACTGAGATTGGAACCCTGAAGAATGGGGTAGAATTCGAGTAGACTGACAGGGACTACGAGCATTAAATATAAATTTAGTTCCCGGAATATGATGGTTAGTAGTTACTTAAGTGTTTTCGTTGCTTAGGTGTGGAAAATAGACTGTGTGTCGAGATATCTCACCATTTCATATAAAGTCCAAAGGATGCAAGACAGAACCTTTGTCGCGTAAGCCCATTTAGACCGAATGCAACATTCATACAGTTAGTCAGTAGTTGGTTAAATTATATCGACTTGCAGTGACAGTTGTGAGTTCAAGGAGATGAGATTATGTTTACTGTTCATCATTGCTGCTGTTGGATATCTAAGGTTGGTAGGATGGAACTGTAAATAATATATATCTCCGTTTGGAACAACTTCCCGGATTTTTAATTACAGGTGAGTCTTTCCACCTTTCCAATACTCTTCCATAGCTCTCTCTGCGTCATACCCATAAGCCCAAAGTTGTGTCACCGGGTCACTCCACTGATTTGTACTCTCGACAAACGATTTCCCCTCGACCTCAGCCCTCATTCCCAGATCCCTAGCCTGTTGTAATGGACCATCTGGAAAATGCCAGATCCTTCCGTTGACCAGACTGGCAGCTTGCATCCCATAGCTTCGACTCATTCTCTCATCCTGGAACACATGCAATGCATCTGGAACCTCCTCCTTGCACTTGATCTTTGAGAGTGAGGTTGCCAGAGCTGCACCATCTTCTACGGCCATTGCAGCTCCCTGTGACATATATGGTACCATAGCGTGAGCTGCATCGCCAAGGATCAAGAGCTTTTGGCTCTTAGATATCCACGTCGGCAGTCGAGCACCTGTTACCAAAGGCCACTTCACAGTCTGCTTGATCTTGTTGATCAAAGTTACTAATCTGTAACCATAGTTAGCCAGTCGAAGTCAGGCCGGAGTAGAGATAGCTGACCTTGGGTCCCAGTCGCGGAACGACTGTCGCATTTCCTCGAGTGCGTTCGTTGCATTCCATGTGTTAGGTAATGAATGGTCAACGTGGGAGAGAACCATGTTGAATGAATCACCACCAGCGATGCAATATGTCATGACGTGACGATCTTTGCCAATCCTAAGTTACGACCAGTCAATGGAGTACCGTATTTGGGGCAGACATGATGTTCATGGCATACCAGATATTGATACCCGGCCTCTCCAGAAGCCAAGCTGTATCATTGTCGTCCTTCATGTCCTCGGTATATACAACAGCACGATAGGCAGCGAAGCCAGTCCTTTGTGGTCGTGGATCCTGACCGCCAAGCACAACTGGCCGCGCTCGCGACTTGACACCATCTGCAGCGACGATGAGGTCTGCAGTGTACTGTCGCCCGTCGGATGTCAATGCTGATGGGATTGCCTCATCGTAGTCAGTGACCCTACTACCTGTAATAACCTCTACCCCATGCTTAGCAGCCAGGCTATGTAGAGCACGGTGAAAGTCAGCACGATGGATGACAAAGTACGGTGCCCCATATGTCTCTGCAAAGCCAGAGTCTAGCTTTGTGTAGCCGATTGGTTGGCCATTCTCCCATCTTCGGAAGGTCATACTCTCTGGTTTGATGGCGTACTGTTCAAGGTAAGGACCTATGCCCCACTTTAGAAGCAGCCTGGCTGAGTTTGGGGGAATCTGGATGCCAGCACCAACCTACATCAAAAGCAGGATTTCACGTTAGTCGATTGCCACAGGATGGATTGTCGATATCAAGCATGAAACATACTTCACCAAGAGAAGCTGCTTGTTCTAAAACAGTCACCTCGTTGCCTTGACGAGCGAGTGCGACCGCTGTGGCCAAACCTCCGAGGCCTGCCCCGACCACCAAGATACGGAGTTTAACTTGAGGCTGATGGATAGAGTTTTGTTCTTCGCTGACATGCTGACGTGATAGATGAATCCTCTCGAGGAGCGTTGTGGACCGCGAGGGATAGCCAACCTCCTAAAGACTAGATCAGCAACTAATCTCTTGAGGATGGATGCCCTTCCATAAGGGTCGTACCGGCTGAGTCTTGCTGATTCCATCTGCAGCTACCATTTCGTAGATGTTTCGATTCTGAGCTCAGGTGATATTACTAATTTAAGTTCACCTTACGGATATGGAATTGATCACTTAGTATCATCTCATCTTTATCAATCAACTACCAGAAGTCTTCGGGAATGTGTACCGACAGTGCCCCGAAACTGTCTTGCCCCACTCTGTCGGCTCGGCGCTATCCGATTCGAACCCGATGCCAAAAGACAGAGGTTCATATTAAATAACAATAGCCTTGACGACTTCGTCGTTTGCAGAGATAAGAACCCTAGCCTGAAGTAGAATATTGACACACCCAAGACAAGAAGCTATCGTTCAACACCAATTATCAGACTCAAAAGATCTCAAACAATACTCGTCATTGTTTCCAAGATGACTTCTGCCGGCCCCAGTGCGAGTGAAAGCCCACAGCATAACGCTGCCGACGCCGCCGCCAGGTTAATACAGAGTCCCGATGAGTTGGTTGCAGCCCTCCGGGCTACAAATACGTCTCCTCTCTGGGCCCAGATGCAGCGATTGAACCCACCTGCCCCAAACCCACAGACGACCCCTCATGTTTGGAAATATGACGAAATGAGACCTTGCCTTGTCAAAGCAGGGGAACTAATCACGGAGAAACAAGCTGAGCGCCGTGTCCTGATGCTGGGCAATCCTGCAAGAGGTACCGTGCTATTGAATTGTCCGTTTTTGATCCAGATTATTAACATCCAAGTTACAGAGGCGCCTTATACCACGGACACCCTGTATGCTGGTCTTCAGCTAGTACAGCCCAAGGAAACAGCACCTGCCCATCGGCATACCGCATTTGCCTGCAGATTTATCATTGAAGGCACCGGAGGCTTTACGGCAGTCCATGGTAAAAGAGTGCCAATGAGGCCTCGCGACGTCATCGTCACTCCCACCTGGAACTGGCATGATCATGGTAAGAAAGCGGCCAATGAGGAAGGTGGGGATGACCAACCCGTCATCTGGCTTGACGGACTTGACCTTCCCAGTTTCATCCACTTCCCTGTACACTTTGTGGAGCACTATTCTTCCGCACGATACCCAGCCGAGGATTTTGCAGAGTCCGACATTGTCTATCCGTGGGACAAGATGCAGTTACAACTGGATGCGACCACCGAGGGTTGGGTCTCCAGACCCTACTTGAAGCGAGATGGAGCCGAGAGTGAGTTTCTTTGGCACTCAGATCAAAACTTTACTTACTGACAAAACTTCATCAGTTGGTAAAACTATCGGAGCCTCTGCAGAGAGACTATCGCCTTGCGCCACCTCTCCTGAGATCCGGGAGACTAGCTCTGCAGTCTATCACGTCATCGAAGGGTCGGGTTCGACCAAGGTTGGCAACTCTGTGCTCAAGTGGAAGCAGGGTGATACGTTTTGCGTCCCAGCCTGGCACAGGTACCAACACCAAGCTGGAGCAGAGGGGCGGGTCTATCTGTATAGATTTGATGATAAGCCTATGCTCAAGGCTTTGGGTTTTTACAGAGTGGAGGGAGTTGACGTCGAGACTTATGTATCAGAGTAAACAAATTGCAACATGCAGCAATGTAAGACCAAGCTTGAATTGAGCTACCACTTTCATTACAATGGACGTTCTCTAAATGGAGCCTTATGTAATGAGATACTTTTAGTTCTGTGGGCTTCCATAACTCCTCCAAGATACTGATACTGGGCTTGTCTCTATCCTACTCGAGCTGGATGGATCGGCTTACCGGTCATTTCATTCTTGAACCATCCGGCTAAATTTGTCTATGCTTTCCTGTGTCCGTCCGCTCCGTACCCAACTATCAAACCACTTTGAACTTGAGGACATAAACTACTCAAATAAATCTTTCACCTGGGGGTTACCGTAGTAGCGAAAAGCCCAATCGACTATTTTCACGTTTCGAGAAGGCCAAGGCCTCGTAAATGGTATCAACCGGGTTCCAAAGATACGGGGTGCTTTGCAACCTATTGAAAGTCAGACTTTAGTGGATCAAGAAGCTGTATCGCCGAAAGGCAACATATTGTTCGATGAATACATGAGACGCTCCCTGTGCTGGGTACTTCCAGGAAAGAAGCATGGGCCGGAGGTCGATCCGGATACAGGACGTTCCGACACCTTTCCGACCTTTCCCCTAAATCCGAACTATCCTAGATGTATCCCGACCGCACAGAAGCCTGAGTTTGTAGTCAAGGTCCACTTTGTTTAGAATAATATCTTTTAAGAAACGTAACGCCTCTGGCTATTTGACTACCACTTCAAAAGCCTGTGGCAGCATCCAAGGTCGTTGAATATCGAAAAGCAAAAATGCAGAACTTAGCTGCCAACACTCACTCAAATAATGGGTACATACGCGCACATGTCCCAATGCTTATTGATGGAAAGCCCATTTGGAGGACTTCTGATACGCTGAAGCATCACGTTTTCGAGGGAGGGACCTTTCAAGGCGCAGAGATCTTCGACTGTGAAGAGGCTGCGGCTAGCTGTAGCAGAAGCTTTGTGGATTGGTCAGCCACGTCCCCAATCCATCGGCGTGCTCTATTTCTCCGACTAGCAGAGGTAAATAGTTCAAAGAGATTCAAGGAGATTCCAGCTGAAACATTGCTTCCAGAACCTGACCAAGCGCCAAGATGAAGCCAAAGCCATAATCAAGTCAGATATTCACTGCTCGGATGATTGGGCCACAATCAACATCAATGACAGTATCAGACATATCGAAGAGTGTGCGTACCTACTGACGTCAAAGACTTTGAATGGTACGATTCCTTACACCGACTCGGAAGGATCATACGGTCTCGTTTTCACTCGCCCTCTTGGTGTTGTCTTAGGCATTGCTCCATGGAACGCCCCTCTATTTCTAGGGTTCCGAGCAGTCATTGCTCCTGTAGCTATGGGTAATACGGTTATTCTCAAGGTAAGGAGTTCTTCAGTACCCAAGCCATCTCCGGCCTCATAACTGATAACATGCGATTAAAGGGCTCCGAGCTAAGCCCTCGCACCCATCACTTCATAGCCGAGATTTTTGGACAAGCTGGCTTTCCTCCGGGAGTTGTCAACTTAATCCTCCACCGACCGCAAGACGCACCTGATATTGTTAGACAACTTATCCGACATAATGCAGTTCGGAAAGTCAACTTCACAGGCTCAACTGAAGTGGGGCGGAGTATTGCTCAACAAGCTGGTCAGGCTCTCAAGCCGGTCCTTCTCGAGTTGGGTGGCAAAAACTGTTCGATCGTTCTAAGAAACAGCGACTTAGCCCAAGCTTCAGAAGCTGTGCTCACCGGTGCAACTCTCAACGTAAGCAAGCCCTTGTTCTATCGTCATTTCGCTTCTCGTGTTGACAAGATACCAAACTGAAGGGAGGTCAGATCTGTATGTCAACGGATTTGGTACTTGTTGACGAGAGTGTTATGGATGATTTTAGAATCAAGATCACCAAGAATCTTGCCAACAGATCTGGGATGAAATTTCGACTCATCGGCTCAAAGACCCCATCAAGAATTCGGGCTCTCATCTCTGACGCTACAGCTAAAGGGTCATCCGTACAGTTCTCATCTGACCTTGATGCAGAGACCAATTCACCGCTCATTCCTATTACTGTATTTGACAGCGTCAATGATTCAATGGCGTACTTCAGGACAGAGTCCTTTGGGCCTTGTATAGGTATCGTATCTATTTCCGATGAGGCAGATGCAGTCAGGATTGTGAACGACAGTGGTTACGGGCTGTCGGCTTCTATTTGGACCAGAGACCACTACAGAGCATTGAACCTAGCCCGCAAACTCCAAGTCGGCGCTGTTCACATCAACTCACTTACTGTTCATGATGAGCCGACATTGCCACATGGGGGCACAGGTTCAAGTGGGTTCGGAAGGTTTGGGGCGGAATGGGGCCTTGAGGAATTTTGTGAGACGCAGACCGTTATCCTAAACCGCTAGGATCATCGCCACCTTTTCCATCGTCACTTTGCGTCAGTTTACACATCGTTCAGTTAGACTCGGTTTATTTTCAAATGCTGTGCATTGAGCCGGTAGCCTTCCCCATATCAATTCAAATGTTTACAATAGCTCTTATTGCACCAAATAATGTAGACCGTATGTAATATATCCTCTTACGGTTACAGCAGACAGTACCCAGGAGTAAGATAGTTAGATTTAACATTCACATAAGCAAGACAATTTTTATCGCACACCCTATTTTAGTAGAAGTCTCTAGCTCAGAAAGCACGGGAGTAATGTACCCCATGTAGGTAGAGACATCAGATGTGGATTATTACTTCTTTTCAGTTACTTAAGCTAAGCGGGAAAGAAAAGGCTTTGTTGGCGACAAGCCTCTGGACCAGACCATCGGATAATCTCACACCAAGATTGCGGGGAGAATCTGGGGTAAACCTATTTTAAAGTTTCGATCTGTCCGGTAGTTGTGTCCCCGGGGCAAAATCGGGAAGACTGCCACCGACCCGAGATGAGCTTGCGTAATTATAACAGACGTCTTATTAAGACACTGTTACTGGCCCAACGCGTGAAAGTAGGAGTACAAAAAGTCCAGTTACTTTCATTGTCACATGGCGATCCCACTATTCTCATTCTCACATTACCAGCCTGTAACCCACTCAGAATCTATCCACAGTTCATTCGAATTAACGACCTTCGCCGCAGTCATGTCTCCTCTCGTACATACGGTCGATAGTAACCAAGGTTCTTTGTCGCAAGTACTAACTAACCATTGTTTTCTAGGACTGGCCACTTTGGTGGCGTATTTTGGTGCTTCTCAATGTCAGCTTCTACAATCTTCTTGGAAACGCGTGGTGTGCCGGTCTCTCTCCACTTTTCGGGTTGATTATCCAAGAGTTGCATTGTTCGCAGTCCCAAGCCTCCAACTTGGTGACATACGCTCTGCTCACTCTTGGACTGTCGGTAAGAAGCTGTCTTTCTCTTGCTCCTGTTTAAGGAAACAGCTGACGTTCATAGAACCTCCTGGCCCTGCCGCTATCATCTTTCTTCGGAAAGCGACTCACCGTTCTTGTATCCCTTGCTTTGTTCACCGCTTTCAATATCTGGTCCAGCGAAGCATCCACCTACGACTCCCTCCGAGCCTCACGTATATTGGGTGGATTGGCGGGTGGTCTAGTGGAGGCTCTTGGACCGATCATCGTCGCCGAGACCTTTCCATCCCATCAGCTTGGCCGAGCTATGGTTGTTTACGTGGGATTTCTTGCTTCTGGCTCTGCCATCGGACCCATTGTGTCTGGAGCGATAGGAACAGACCTGGGTAGTTGGCGGTGGTACTTGAGAATCATATCCATTTCCATGGGTCTGAACCTCTTTTGCTCCATCATAATGTTGCCAGAGACAGCTCATACGATTGATGAGGTTAAAGACAATCCCCCCGAGGACATCAGCGGCGGAGGCGCAATTGAACAAAAACCTACTACAGTATCTGTCGAAGATGCCGGTTCCCCTCTCCCAGCCTCGGAGATGCCACCAACGACATTAAGAGAAGAATGGATGTCCAGGTCTTTCAGTCTAGACTGCATTCCTTTGCAGTGGACTAGAATGCCTTCTTTACTTGTGCAGCCACTTCAGCTCCTTGCAGCACCACAGGTTCTTGTCACGGTCTATGTCTTCGGTCTCACAATTGGCTGGACAGTTATCACCTCGGTTCTCATTTCTCTCATCTACGCCTCGCCTCCCCTGCTTTGGAAAGCGCGTTCCATAGGTCTTCTAAATGTTGCGTCTCTACTTGGTCTCCTTGTTGGTCTCCCATTCGGTGGTTATTTTGCAGACCTTCTATTTCTCCGATCGGCACGCATGAGCATTTCAGGGCCAGATCCAAGAAGTCGACTGCCCATGGTGTTATTGGGAGCCCTCAGCAGCCCTGCCGGATGTCTAATCCTTGGGCATGCTCTAAGGCGTCCCGATTCTTGGATCCAGGTGTGCGTGGGATGGTCACTTCTCGCTTTTGGCTTGACGGGCTCTGCGAATATTCTGCTTACTTATTCCGTCAATAGCATGCCGTCCAGGGCTGGGGATATCGGAGTTTTAGTGAATGTTATGAAGAACTGTCTGGCGTTCGGTGTTTCCTATGCTTCAGTTCCCTGGATGCAGGGCATGGGCGTGTTTGAACAGTTTGCGATTATGTCTGCTCTTCTCTGGCTGGGCTACCTACTTGTAATCCCTATGTGGTTTTGGAGTCAAGTTATTGTACAAAGGAGCACTGCCTACACATAGCAAGAACAATTGATTTAGTTTACAGGCATGTTTCCTTATAGGAAACGGTTCCTGTAGTAGCAATACATTGATTCAGGCTGACGTTGATCATTATTCTCACATTGCATATTCCCCTGGCACGTTCATGGTCTAATGCCAATAGCGTGTAAAGGTCCCGCTAACTTTCAGAACTATTGATTCTCATGCAGGGGCCCACCAACCACAACCCGAGTATCAAAATTACACCACGCTTAGACCATGCTGCCACCGCTTTATCAGGTCTAGAACAAACCTTCCAGAAGCCCAGTTCTACAATAAAATATCTTCAACGCCCTCCCACTTTATGGCGCCGTCACCTACTCTGTGCTCAACTTCATCCTACAAATAAATCAATCTTTGAGGAGTCTCCAGTCCCTTGTCAATATTTTTCTCTCACATTAGCGCTGTAATGAAGTCCAAGGCCCTTCTCAGCGTGCTGGCGTTTCTAAGCGCCAGCACTCACGCTGGACCTTGTAAGCCAATCACTTCGCAAACCACCCAAGCTGCCTCTGCTACAACAGAGGGACCTACCACGGTTGACTCAAGTACCACCATCATGGCGTCCGATACCACCGAAGTTCCCCACCCTTCCACAACTGAGCTGAGCTCCCAGACAACCGAGGAGCCTACAGTTAGTTTGACAACGACCATTGCTGCCGACACGACTTCAGAGGCCCCCACCAGCACCGAGGAAGCATCTACGACGGGTGCAGCTGCGTGCCCTACTCCTGTAAGCTGCGACAACCTCGGCTTCGACTGGGCATACTACAGCAATCCTGCCCAAAACACCGACGCTACCTACTCCTCTTTCGTTCCTCAGTCCTTCAAGTCAAGAAACCCGCTGTACTTCGGGACCACTCGCCAGATTGGTGGCCTCTATCAGCCCGGGAACGGTGCTCAAGATGGCCCTATCTACGGCTCCTCCATAGACCTGTCCCTTAACTACTTCGCACTGAACCACCATACATACTTGTATGCTTGCGAGGCTGGTACATACAAGTTCGACATCCCATACGCGAACGATGCACTATATTTCTGGATTGGCGCGAAGGCGTATGCTGGATGGACTTCAGGTAATGCCGATGCCAAGGCCCTCTACGATCAGCCCGATCACATTGCAGGAAGTGCTAGCTACGAGGTTGACCTTCCGGGTGGTGTATATATTCCCCTTCGCTTTGTCTATGGTCAAGCGCAGTACGGTGGCGGCTTTACCTTTACCGTTACATCTCCAAGTGGGCAGGTTCTAGTCGGCGATGACGTTGCCTCGAGTCCGTACGTTGTACGCTATTCATGCGATGGTGTTACTGCCCCACAATACCCTCCATTTGGACAGGAGAACTAGGCGTTTCGTTTATAGTTTGGTCTCGACAGATGTTAGAGGAATCACTTAATACGTCATCTTAGTTTAGAAAGAACATGTTATTAGTAATAATCTTGGTCTAGTTTCATTTAGCTTAATTGCAATTGATCGGCAATTTTACGAAAAATCCTACTAGAATTAAACGATAAGGTGGCTTGATAACAGAGATAAGATGATAACGGTTGATCTACGGCTACTAGATCGGAGCCACGTTATTCCGCCCTGTCCCCAAGCCTCGAAACTAAAAGAGATCTGAAAAACCAAACACATGGCAAACTCAATTGAACATGAACATCACCGCGACATAAATCTCGATTATGAAAAAAGAAAGAGACAACAGGAATCGCAATTTAAGTGATACTACCTGTCGAGTCTGGAGGACTTGATAGATACCAAGATATAAAATCTGTTGCTGTAACCTAAAATTATTATAATTGCTCTTTTGGTATCGGGTAGGAAATGCATTTATCAGCGGCACGCCTTAGCTTGATTGGTTCGGACTAAATCGAATCTGGATCATTCGTTGGCTGCAGCCTGCGGGGATCTGTAAAGTGGATTTCCAAGCACCCATCGATGCCAAAGTGGCTGAGTGTGGCTGTAGAAGGACAAACAGGGCACTGACAAATAGTGTCGCACTAAGCACAAAGAGTTTCGTGGATCTTCTCGATGCTTCGAGTAAGATCATAACCCTTCGATATGGTGAGTAACGTCTTGCGCAAGAACACGCTGCCTAAGTCCCAATGTAAAAATCTCTTGTATAAATAAATGAGTTTCGACGGTCTTGGTGAGTTTTTAATTATCAGAATTCAGTATCTTTACAGCTCAATCAATTTACACCAAGCACAAGCATCCACTCAGCCAATCAAAAGCCTGAACCATTATTACAATTACCTTTTCCAGTTTACCATCAAATCACATTAACAAAATGGCATTCTTCCTTCCCCGCACCGCCTACCATGTCCAGGCTCCAATGAACCCACTCTACCATCTACTCAGGGAACTCGACCAGTCAGTCCTGCAGCCCCAACAGCCACAGCGAAAGCGCCAATGCCACCCTCAACAGAAGACCCGCGCTGAGGTTGCCTGCCCTGCCTACCGAGTCAACGCTCGCCCATGGGAGCCCCGCTTTGAGGCTCACGAGACGGAGGACTCCTTCGTTATCTATGGCGAGCTTCCTGGTCTGAACAAAGAACACGTCACTGTCGAGTTCCCTGAGCCTACCAAGCTTGTCGTCAGTGGCAAGGTTGAGCGATTCACAGATGCCCCCAAGGCAGATGAAATCACCCCTGAGAAGACTGCTCCCACCCCGATCATCGAGTCAGACAACGAAGACACCCGAAGCAGGAGCTCATACCAGGCCACTGTTGAGGACGATGTTGATGGTGACGACTTTGAAGTCTTGAGCCACGCATCAGGAAAGTCAGAGGCCAGCAACCAGCCAGAGCCTGAGACTCTCAGTGAGAAGGCCAAAGAGAAGCAGCCTGAGCAGCCTGAGCAGCCTGAGCAGCCTGAAGAGCCAAGAGGCTCTGTCTATCGCAAGGAGTTCTCCCGCTACTTTACCTTCCCCACCTATGTCAACCACGAGGCAGTTACCGCTGAGCTTAAGGATGGCCTCTTGACTATAGTCGTTCCTAAAGTTACACCCAAGTCTCATCGCATTGAAATCGAATGAACGGTCGGATATCATTTTATAGGTTATTTCATTTGTTAGTTTTACGCATTAGAATATTGGAGTGCTCTTTATTTACAATAGTTTACCTACTACTTAATTAATTGTGTCCTTAATACTGACCTTTACTAATTATGACTTGTGAACCTCTATCTTTGATACTGTGATATCTTATTACCCAGTCTTGACATAGCGTCTTTCCTGCTGTAGATACCAGGGTTGCTATTGCGTTGAGACTTGCCTCTAATAGCAAGTTGAACGACATAAACTCGTGGCAGTTTCTTCGGGTATATTCTTAGATTTCTATTTCAAGCAACAATGACCCGACCAGACTTATCAAGCCACTGCCGCTGAGAATCCAACCGACAACCAACAGGCCGCCTGTCTAGCTTGGGCAGAGGTCAATGCTCAGATTTGATTCGTCAACTTTGTCAACATTACCGACCAACAACGAAACTTTGGTCTGCGGAATCGGATTATCTGTACTGCCCCTGCTCCAACAAGAGTGACCTCGCTTCAGGCAACAGGTCCGAGACCCTGCTCTCATTCTAGAGACGGTATTTGCAACCCCGCACTACCAGACGTATTGGGTAAAGGAGAAGAGGTGGATGAAGATAGCGGTGACACGTACAACTTTGAGAAGGCAGATTTCTTCATCGTCGGACTTTCTTTTGAAGAATATCTAGTTACAGTCTACTTTGAGGGTCTCCTCAGGTTCAAGGCCGAACCATTTCAGGGACTTCTGAATTTTGTTAAGCATGTTTATCGGTCGCCTGCAGAGGTTGAACACCTCCATGAAACAAGTAAGTCAGGACAGACATCTCAAGATAGCGTTATGCTCACCAGTCTCTAGATAAAGCTATCAAGGTGTTGCTTAACGCACTAAAGTGGAAGGGCACAGATTATAATTACCAGCAGATTAGTAATTAAACTTTTATTTCTCTCTACTATCCTCTTTAGTTAGTTAGTAGATAAAATAACGCTGGCGATAATATAAGTTTAGTTAAGTTACTACTAGACCAAGGTATTAATATTAATACTTAAGGTAGGGAAAATAGTAGTACTCTGTAGGTAGTATTAGCTACTAGCTCTAAAAAGGTAGTAAAGCTATTAATGTTACAATCCCCCGCGGTTACGTCACGTATACCCCACATTTTTCACCAATCAGAGCTTAGCTTACCTACACCTACGTAAGCCTTACCCAAGCTTACTACACTAGTTATAAACTTACTTACTAGCTTACCTAAGTAATTATAAGCCTTTTCTTAAGGCTTATAACCCTACTAGTAAAATTATTATATATATATATATTTACTTAGCACTAGATAGAATACTTAGCTTACTAGCTATTAATAAGACTTCTTTACCTAAATACACCTAATACGCTTTATTTACTATTAAGAGATATAATACTTTGCAATACTTAGTATCTATACTCTATATATCTGCTAATATAAACCTAGTATAGACTAGTTTATTCCTTAGGAATTATAACTATTATACATTAATAGCTTTTATTTAGATTATACTATATAATACTAAGCAATACCTATGTAATAGCTCTTACTACTTTAAACTAACCCTTTACTGCTTAGTATAGCTAATAGCTACCTTAGGTAATACTACTAGATACTAACCCTACCTAGGAAAAAGAAACTAACCTCTCTATAGATACTAAAGATAAGGATAAGGTAAATATTGCCCCTACTTACCTAAGTAGCTATAAGGATAAAGTTACTAAGCTTAAGTAAAAGATTTACAAGCTTAGTAAGTAATATAATAAACTCCTTAATATAGCTAAGTTTAACTTAGAAGTAGCTAAGAACTAAATTAAAAACCTAAAGAATAAGGTAGCTAGTATTACTAACCTTACTAAAAGGCTAGGTAAAGAGGCTAAATAAAGCTAGAACCTCTATAGAGAGTACATTAAATATACTACTACCCTTATTATAACTAAAAAGGACCTAAGAGAAATCCTCTACCCTTATTAACTAGACCCCTACAGAGGTAAATTAAATAAACTATAAGGATTCCTTACTAGTATATATAGCTACTAAATATACTATTCTATACAGTTTAGTACTAAGGAATATAAGGTATAATATACTATAAGCTTTCTTAAAAATAAAGCCCAGAGAGTTATAGAACCTATCCTTAGGGACTATATTTATAATCTACTATACGTAAGAAAACAAATAACTAACTACATCTACAAGAAATACAAGAACTTTAAGAAAGAACTTACTTATACCTTTAGAATTACAAATAAAAAATAAGAAGCTAAGGCTAAAATTTATTAACTAGTTTAAAAGGGATTAGCCTTAGCCTATCTTATAGAATACTAATTCTAGGTAGTTAAACTAGACTAGAATAAAGCAGCCTATATATCCTAGATATACTAAGGGCTAAAAGCTAAAGTTAAAGATACTATAGTATACGTAAGAGAAAAACCAAAAACTCTAGATAAACTAGTATTTCTTACAGTAGATATTAATAACTAATTATTTAAGTAATAAAAAGAAAAATAAGCTAATAAATAAGGATAGACCTATACTCTTAACTAAAATAAAAACTAATAAGAATCTAACTGTAACTATGTAAACTAAGGGAAACAGAGATAAGCTAATACTTCCTATAGTATCTAAGCAGAACCTATAAATATTAATACTACTTAAATAAATAGACTAGCCCTAACCTGCTAGAACTGTAGTAAGAAGGGATACTGTAAATACAACTACTGTAATTTTATAAAAACTAACTAAAAGTACTAGCTAGTACTGGAAGGTAAGACTATATAATAAATTAACATATAGGAAGAAGAACCCTAGATAGCAGTATATACCTTAAAATAAGTAGTAATAACTAGATCTAGATACAATATAGAGCTAGTAGGTAACTTAAAAGAGAGACTTTAGATAGCCCATATTACAGTAGAAGAAGAATAGAAATAGATAGAATTTAATTAAGAGGAGGAAAAGAAGAAGAAAGTATTTAAAAGGAATAAAAAATATATAGTAAAACCTAGAAATAGAAAATAATAAATAGAAATTCGCTGCAAAGCATAAAAAGACCCTATCTTCTAAGACTATAAGAATAGACTTAGATGCAAGTAATGCAAATAAAATAGAAAATAGGAACCTATTCTTAAAGATACAGTTACCCCTAGACTAAGCAAAACAGTTACAGTTACTTAAAAAGGGAAAGGAACTATCCCTAATACGGATAGTACACTTATACCTAAAGAAATTTAATAAGAACTAGACTAATTTATAGATAAAATATTTTCTAACCTACCTATCCTATAAGTAGATAGAACGCTTAAATTACTATAAGAAGTAATAGAAAGATTGGAAGTTACTAAACAAATTAACGAAATACCTATTAAAATAATATAACTAAACTAATACTATAGAGACCCTAACTACTCTAATACTGCCTATAATAAATTAGAATAATTAAGAAAAAAGAAAAACTACAAATTAAAACAGTTACACTATAAAGACAAATAGGATAGCTAGATAAGTAAAGTAGTATAATAAGCTAAGGAATATATAGAAATAGTATAAGATAATAATATCTATATTTATGCTATTACTAATAATTAGGAATAGAGCATAGAAAACATTATCTAAAGATTAATAGTATACTATAACCTATAAAGGTACCCTAGTAACAAAGAATATAAATAAATTTTATAGATCTTATATATAGCTTACTACTATACCTTATACTAGTAAAGTAAAATCAGCAATAACTATTTCCTAATAAGCATTAGGGAATATATGTAATAGAAACTGTATATTATTACCAATACTATTAGATATAGACTATCTAAATAATTTCCAGGAAATAAAGTAATAAAGTTTACTACCTATATAGAAATAAAAGAATAAGCTTTTACCTATATCTAGAATTAATAAAGGATTAATTAGTAAAGATAAGATATACAGAGTAACCCTAATTAAGGAAGTATACCTAACCTTAATACCCTTTAATAAAAAGAAGAGGTAGAAGAAAACGCCTAGCTAGTAGATGCTAAGGTATAAAAGGAACTAAGAAACAAATACCTAGATAATATATTATACTATAATAGTAAATGCAATAAATAATACCTAGGATAGCTAGGAAAAGATAATAGCTTGCTATACTATTAGAGCTATAGATAAGCAGAGCCCTAGAGTAGGTACTACTTATAAGAGCTCTAAGATTAACTACACAAGGTTAATAGACTTACCTAGATATATAAGTATAAGTTAAAGGGAAATAGCTAACTATACTAGTAAACAGTAAAGTAGAAATAAATATAATTAACCTTTACATAGTTAATATATTACAACTACTATAGTAAGATAAGCTATAGCCTTACTTACTAATAAGCTTAGAAGGAGGAACGTTTACCTATAACAAAGGACTAATTACCTAAGAGATTAATTACTTAAAGGTATTTATTAGAACTTAAAGGTAGAACATTAAACTTAATATTATCCCTATACTAGGCTATAACCTAATATTAAGCTACCTATAGCTATACTACTATAACCTATATTTCTATTAGAGAACTAGCTAGATTATTAATATAGATAATCCCTTTAATATAGATACTAATTTAGAAAGTAATAATAACTAGAGATCTTAAACTTTAACTAAAGCAGCTAGCAAAGTCTAGCGTAAAAAGAATATTTACCTACCTCTAAGAGGAATAAAATATAAAATACAAAAAAGGCAAGAGAAGATATATTTAGTAAACTATTACAATAGTTACTACCTAGCTATATAACCTAAATAAAAAGTTAAAGTTATAACTAAAACTATTAAAAAAAGAAGATAAACTTAAGAACATACTATAGAAATACTAAGTTTATAAGAAACTATTTAAAGAAAAACTTAATATAAAAGTACTATAGTATAGCTACTAGAACTATAAGATTATACTTAAATTAAATAACCTACCTTTCTAGAAGATATATAATCTTAATAAACTTAAGCTTACTATACTATAAGAC